TACATGTATCTTCTTCCCCTGGGGGAGAGAAACGTGGAGTTTGTCCAAGACATTATGCCACAAGTTGGATTTAAATCATTTATTTCCATCAATTGTTGGTCCAGATCTTTTATTGAGTCCAGCTCTCTGTAAAGTCTCCTCCGGCACATCACAAACACTTTCAACGAGTTTAAGATCTGGACTCGTGTGTGAAAATGACAAGCATTCGTTCACAGTTTGAGTCTGATGAATATTGACTTTGTCAGAATATGATCATGATGTTCTTCCTACATGGTGTTTAAGAAATGAATAGCTACACACTCCATCAGTTAGTGTTAGAAGAACTGCTGCCAAACATATATCATGCTAGAAACATAATAATCACTGCAATAATGATCCAATCACAGACTCTTTAGCATTTGCCTATTTAAATCCACACAGTGACTCTTTCTTTGGACCGACAGTGTATATATATTGTTTATATTTATACTGTATCGCATGTGTGTGTGTGTGTGTGTGTGTGTATATAATACGTACAGCTGCGATGTCTGGATCAGGAGCCTAAGCTTTCCACACAATATTTCCTTGTAAATCCTGTAGTGATAATAACATAAGTCTTAGGACAAATGTAGTTAGTTGTCATGAAAATAATGTTAAAGGGGAAGAATATGCTCCTAAAATATGTTTACAGTTGAAGAAACATGTTATTTTTATCTGTGGATTTTAGGGTGAAATGGCCTGGGTTTGTTAATAATCACTGCAATAATGATCCAATCACAGACTCTTAAGCACTTGTGTATTTAAATCCAAACAGCAACTCTTTTTATGTATGTATTTTTGGTGTATAAATGCTCAATATCACAATCTCATCATGTGATCAGGCAGTGTCAGTATAGGTAATCCGGGAACTTTTGCCTATGAGTACTGTGAGTTTGGACATGTACTTCTTTTGTCACGTACTGTTTTCGCCTACTGTAAAGCAGGGAAATATGTGATTTTGAACGCAGCCAGACTTGACTTGACTGTCTAGAACGAGAAACCCAGGGGAAACTAGTGTTGTTGGAATATCAGTACTCTTGAAAGATCAAATCTGTTACACAAGATGTCACGGACATGTGTTTTGGTCTCATCGATAAAACTGTTGAGCTGCCATTTATAAACATCACACCTAAAATCATGACATGCACTATAAAAGAAATAAATCCAATAAAAAGAAATAAATACTAATAATTAATAATACTGTATCGCTTATCAGAATTGCTCTTGAGTGATACGTGTGCGTATGAACTCAAGTCGATTGCTTGATTATGCTGATGCTTATACAGAAATAAACACTTTTGAGATAAAACGCTGACTAATGACAGAATGCACAGATTATGCTCTTTCACTGCTAACTGCACAACATTTGTAAAACTTTTGCTGTTGTTCTTTTGGACTATAGCAAGGGAGTTTTGAGATCTGAAACTTTCAGTATGCTAGATTAATGAGCTCTTATATGTGAGAAGAACAAGGAAAGCTCCTGTAACTGGCTTTAGATGGGCAGTGCTAGCGAGGAGTGTTTGTGTGACATAGTTCATGTCTTTTATTATGTCGTGTCTTTTAGTTTGAAGTGTTTCCCTGTTGATAGATCAGTCTTGTTCATTGTTTCCTGTCCCTCATCTTCCCCATTCCTGTCCTGATTGTGTTCAGGTGTTCCTTGTTTGCATCATTAGTTCTGGTGCGCGTTCATAGCCCACATGTTTCCTTTGACTGCTGTGTTGCTTTGGGTTTATTTAACCCTCTTCTTTGGTGAGTGTCTTTGTTTTAGGATTTGTCAAAGTGTAATATATGGGAAGCCTATGCGTTGGTCTGTTGATTTTTGCTTTTGTATTTAAAAAATACTAATACAAGTTGAGTTCTCAACTGTAGCTCACCTGAGAGTGATGTTGTTACTGGCTGAAACTGGTTAAGCTGGTATTGTAGACTAGTGTGTCCTGTAAGGCCTGATGGGTGACCATGAATGTGTGTCAAACCCCCTTACATTGTATTGACAACGAGACATGATTTTAATTGGTCATCTATTGGCATAGTTCACCCAAAAGTGAAAATTATCTCATTGGCTTTACAAATTTATATGACTTTCCTCAGATGAACAAAAATTGAAAAATGAAAAATAATACATCTCTGTGAAACTTTGATTTTGTTTTCCAAACTTTGATTATATTTTGATTTAATTGGTGCGTCAAACACACAGTTAGAGATCTTTTATGTTATTATGAGTAAAATATTCTTCCTCAAACTAGGAATTTAATGAGAAACGCTGCGCTGAACTGGCTTGGCTGGTTAAGGCTGTTTTTTTTGTTGTTTTTTTCACTATGGGTGATGAACCAATTTGATGAGTGTATTATATCTCTGTGAGTCCATGAGCGAAGGAGTTCCCAAATGCACACACATCCTTTGTGATGTTATCTATAAGACCCCAGTGGGTTAATAGATGTCTTTTCTTCTGAAGCGGAACTAAACTTCATGTCACTTTCAGTGTAACTTTAAGTTTGTTGTCTGTGGTTTCCCACGGGATTGAGGTTATTGTGGACCTCACACCCTCCCTAGGGGGACAAATTTGTACATTTTAAAATTAAATGCTATCAATCTGGTGCACTTTTGAGAGTATTCTGGGAGCTTCAACCTCTTTAGTGTCCGAATTGTGTAGAGCAAAAGGAAAAATAAATTGCATTTAGTGGACTCAAACCACTTTTTAATGAGTGTTTATGTAGCTATCAATTATGAAACGAATTAAATTTCAGCTGTAGAGCAGATCTACAGAAGACAATTAATGTTATCATTCAGCCGAATTTATTTAAATGTTGATTCAGTTTATTGCATTAACAATATCAATGTTTCAAAACTCAATGTAACAATAAAGTAGCTCTACAGAAGAAAATAGTGCCATTATTCAGCTCAAGTCACTCCGGTTTAGTTCTAGTTCAGTCCAATAAGTGTCGATGTTGCAAAGTTCATCAATTGTGAAATAAATTCGAGTCCGCATTAAGCAACTCTACAGAAGACAAGTGTCATTATCCAGCTCAATTCAGTCAGTTCAAGTTTTGTTTTCATCTGATAGTGACAGCAGTCAAAATAATATTACTTAAGTCAAGTCACTTTTATTTATACAGCGCTTTTAACAATACAGATTTTTTCAAAACAGCATTACAGTAAAATGTAACAAAGTTTGTTTCTGCTGTACAGCAGAGATAGAAGAAATAAGACTAAATATTGTCTAAATATGAATAATTACTAAATATTAAAACGACTAAATATTAAGTTGTCTTTTAAACCTCAGGCTTTTATTTTGGTGGGAAAACTGCAGGGAGGCCTTTGTTTCTGTGGCAAGCAACGCCTTTAAATGTAGTGAAATGCTGTAAACTGTGTGAAAATGAAAAACAGTGAATAATGTTAGAAATTATGCAAAAATTATGCCTGGTCCCGGTGCATTCCCAGATGCACGCTAAACTCACAGCACACAGAGAGATGGAGGTGCGCTTTTACTCTGAACCGAGACACTGAAAACACTAGATGATGAGCTGCATGTGCGTTACAGAGAAATGATAGTGCTGCGCTTCACTCTGAAACATGCAGCGCAACAAACTGCATACTTCTTAAATGAAATCACATGCAATTTTATTATCGCACTAAGCCATTTCACCATTTAAATTTTTGTTCGGTTGACTGGTAATTTCCAAAGCAAATGCACCAAACACAATTTTAGAGATAGTTTATGTTGTTGTTAGCCCTATTCGGACGGTAAATTAACCATTTACAGGGTTATTCTGTGATTTTATTGGCGTTTGAATTCAAATTATCAGTGTTTTTCTCCCTCCACCCGTGTAATAATCCCCGACCGAATCACCTTCTGTTTTCTGACAAACACCAAGATCGTGTGATGATTTAATTACCGTCCAAATCCACATCTAGAGTTTACTAGAGATCACTTCAAAATGCACTGTTTAAATCCTTTTTGTTCACTGCCGAGCACCATCTTTAAAGATGTACACTTTTATTTATTTATTTTCAACTCAATTTATATTAATTGTCCAAAAAACACACAAGAACAATACAGAACAACGTTTTCCCACCCCAACATATACAAAAACTTAACAAAAATAAAATTTAATTAATAAATAAATAACAACTAAATTAAATAAATAAAAATAGAAAACATATGTTAAATTATTGGGATGTACACTTTTATTATTGAAATGCTGGAAAGTATTTACACAAACAATATTTCATCACCGCTCCACCTCAGCGAACAAAAAGGAGAAAGAGAAAAAAGCACGTAAACATTTGAAATGGGACATTATTGTGACTGAAATATATATGATACATATATGATTTTAAAGTATGTATGTAAGTATGCACAACAATGAAAATACAAACCAAGCAGCTTTGTTTACCTAATTTCCATATTTTTAAAATGACATCCTTTTGAGATAAAATGCAAGAATATAAGAACCATTTTGAATTTTCGTACGCGCGTCTAGCTTCCTATTTTTAAAAATGAGAATTAAATAATAAATGGAACATTATTTTCCGATTATTAAATTATATACAAATTTATTCATATTATTCCACGCATATGACATTTTATTTACAGCAGACAATCATGCGACTTCCCGGGTCGGTAGGATGAAAAAACTCGCTCCTCCACTGTCAATAAATCTCCATCCGAATGCATTAATTTATCACTGACGTGCAAATTTATTTGTACAGTCGTCCACATTCTAGTTATTGTGTTTCTCTTTCCTTCAGTGATTTTGCTTGTTAACAGCAGGTGTTCATCACTAATGCTCAATCATCAAATTGATTTGTACAGACGTCCACATGAGAACCAATTACCATCCGAATAGGGCTTATGAGTGTAAAAATGTTCCGGGAAATGAATGGGAAGCACTGAGCTGAACTGTATGTTTGTTTTCAGTCTGAATAATAATACGATATGAAGAGTGTGTTTCATTGAAGCGTTCTCTTCTCTGTGTCCACAGGCTGTGAGCTCTTTTGAGTGGTGCCATGACCAGTCAGGGTGATGACCATGAAGACAGACTAAACCCCCAAGCATCATCTTCTTCCTCTCGGCCCTCAGCTGCCCGTAAGCTGCAGGTCCAGCGCTCGCTCTCCCGGGACACCATCACCATACACTTCTCAGCCAAAGGACATGAGGAAGAGGAGGAGGAAGAGGACCTTTATAGGCTCGCGGTTTCCCCGTCTGGCCTTGAAACCGAAGATCAGGGCGTAGTCACGGCTCAGGAGGCCAGCGAGGAGCTTCTCTCTGAAGGATTGGGAGTGGACGTGGTTACAGGACTGGCTTCGCAAACACACAGTTCAGCGTTGGCGATCACACACCCCTCCGTTAGCTTAGGTTCCTCGTCCACTTCTAGTCTTATTAGCTTCTCATGGCCTTCGGAACAAAGGTCGAGTGTACCGGTACCTTCCACGCATTCGGTTTCATCGACTTCATCCCCAGCTAAAGCTTCTGCTTTACCTTCGAAGCCGTTCCTAAGCCTAGTCAAGTCTCTTTCCACTGATGTGGAGGCACCCACTGTTCCCCCCCAATCGATAAGACACCGACATTTAATGAAAACCCTTGTTAAGTCTTTATCCACGGACACTGCTCGACCCGAACATGAGTCTTCCTCAGCTCATCGCTCGCAGGATTCACGCCTCAATCTGCACCTTTTCAAACCGTTCACCCAAACTCGTGTTCCCGCGGTCACTGGCGACTCCAAAACCGCTCCCTCATCCCCGTTAACCTCTCCCGATAGCCGCTCCTTCTTTAAAGTTCAAGAGGTTGAGGCACGAATCGAAGACACGAGGCGTCGTCTATCCGAGGTCATGTACGAGCCTCTCCAGCTTCTCAGCAAGATAATCGGCGAGGAAACCGGTAGCACGACCGCGGGAGTCTCTTATCGGTCCAGAAACCTTTCGTCCAGCGCAACTGAACTCTCAAACTTGTCTGCTCTCAACGGCCACTCGGAAAGCAACAATAACTACTGCATTAAAGAAGAGGAAGACGTGGACGGGGAAAGTCCTCTCGAGGGGGCGAGTGTTGACTTGCCTCTTCACAGATCGCCATCTCTCGGATTAAACCGATGTATCATGTCGACTCTTGCTCGTCAGGAAGATGAAGAGTTCTGCGAGCTCTACCCGGAAGACTTCGAGCTTTGTAATGAGTTAGATGGGGAAGAACCCCAGTCATCTCAAGCCCGTCGAGGGAGTAGCGAGGAACCGACTGAAGGAGGCGAGGAAGACGAGGAGGAAGACGAGCCTCCAGGAGTTCCCCACAACGGATTGATTCTTCTGATAGCGATGGTTTACGGTTACTTTGTGTTGCCACTCCCTGCCTATGTGTGTTGGGTGTTGACGGGAGTGGTGGCGGGGTTCATGCTGGCGATCCTGATGGTGTGGTTGTCTGCGAGGCGAAGGCCTTCGTGGGGTCGTAACAGCAACTGGAACCGAAGAGAGAACTGGAACCGGGTTCCTCTGGATATCACCGAACCTGCCATACACAAGGTGAGGCCCATTCAAAGATCATTCTGTTGGAAGAGCTGGAAGTTTACAAACGTTTCAAAAGCTTTTGACCGGCAGTGTACCTGGCAGGTTGCCAATATTTTTGATAATTCACTATGCATTTCACATGTTCTTAATGAGGTATTTGTTCATACCAATTAAATAAGTGCCTCTACAAATGCTAATATAACCAAAAAAATGCAGAATAATAGCAATGAAAACAAAAATAATATTTAGTCTATTATCTATAGTAGTCCCTAGTACCCACGAGGAATTCAAGTTGCTTGCTTTTTTAGCTTACACAAAGTTACTTTGTGTAGCCTGTTGTGAACCGGCCACGTATTTCCACAGTCTTGAGGAACAAGCGCTGACGTAACACTACTATGTGTTGGTTTATCTAAAAAGCATTGCACATCCCGGTGTTTCTTATCTGTCCTTTGCAGAGATAAACTGAAACTTGATTAACTCACTCTCTCACACGCTGGGTCTCTTTCTCAGGCGCATGATTTTATATATTTAGATGTAAAGACCAGTATAGTGCAGTGTTTTCTGTAGGGATGCACGATATATATCGGCCACCATATCGGTATCGGCCGATATCGGTTCATTTTTAATATTATCGTTATCGGCCCGATAAGTAAGGGTTAATGCCCTTCGTGGTGTTCATTGTCAGGTATTAATGGACGACGGCGAGACGTGAACCGCTCGACGCGCAGCGGAGTCCATTAATACCTAGATAATGGACACCTCGAAGGGCATTAACCCGCTTATGCCATGGTCTCTTGCCAAATAACACATTTTTAAAACATTAGTTTATAGTTTAATTAGTTTTACAATCGAAATCTAAAGCTTTTACAAACAGTAACTTGGTTTCCCTGGTTACGCCTGACGGTTTATTTAGCAACCAGAGATATTTATAGTCCGCTCAGCTCGGAGAGCCCTTCAGTTTAGCGAACTTACGAGCCAGAAAGTTAACATTTTTTTTCATGTAAGTTAGGCTTGTCTAGCCATGGGCGTTACACTTTCGTTTTTTTAACCTATAATTAAAACACACAGGAAGGCATAGTATAACGGCTAACTAGATGTTTGTTTTGATACAATAAATTGTAAACAGATATTTTGACTGCCTGTTGCTATGGTTACTCACAGCTGATGTAGCCAGCCCATTTATTTATTAACTTCGAACGGTAAACAGTCACATAAACAACATAAAATTGTAATGAGAACATCATTATAATTGTGTGTTTAAGACATGGATTTAATGGTGAGACTTTTGTTTTTGTAATCAGGCTCTCAAAAAGTATATAAATTTAGATTTATTGGCCAATATATCGGTTATCGGCTTTAAAATATAAAGAGTTATCGGTATCGGCCAAAATGTTCATATCGGTGCATCCATAATTATCAGATTACTCAAGATAGCATACATTATGTCTAATAACTTATTTATGATTGTTGCTTTTTTTGCTTATATACAAACAATGTATATAAGCAAATTTATGTTCAGAATGTGGACAGAAATTATTCTCTGAACAAATGAAATATCAAAATATTTGAGAGAACCTAATGGTCCTTTCACACCCAGAATGATAACTATAACCATAGAGTTTTAACTCTACGACTCGAGAATAACGACAACTATAAGGATAATGGCACAGAGGAATGATGTCATGGGATCACTTTCAGGCAGAGGTGGAAAGAGCACTGACTTTTTTGTTTATTTACCTAAGTAAAAGTATTACTGCTAGTAGAAGTGCTAAAAAATCATGAGTTTGCTGAATAACTATGTACATTACAACTTCAGTTCAACTAAAAACTAGACTATGAAGAAACGTTCATTAGAAAAGTGTCATTAAAAAGTAACTACCAAATGTTTACAATAACAGAATTGATTGAAACGACAGTATTTATATCTTGAAAAGGCATTAAGTCAGTACTTGACGTTTAAAGGACACCTTTCCACCGGCGTTGTATTGTTGCGATGTCTGTATTATAAGCTAAATGCCTCATCCAGTGGACTTTACACAGCCATAAAAGGTTTTGTATCTTGCGTCATCCAATGGACTTTAGACTACTTTTGCATAAATAGGCCTGGGCTGGGATTCCTGGATTCAGCTTTATTTATATAGCGCTTTCGGAAAGAGTACACATTGTTAGTTTACTCATCAACATTGTAATCATACAAACGAGGTTGCAAATCGGCAAAGTTGCCCTCTCAAACCCCCCTCTAAAAGCCCTATTATAGCATTTTTCTCAGTTAAGCTAACGATTTACATGGAAACTCATTAAAAATGTAGCCTACTTGTTTCCTTCCAATGATAATAGTGTTGGATAGGCACTTGTTTAAACAAACTGGGTGTAGTTTCACCTTTTCATGGTCATAAAGAGCTCTCAACAGCCACATGCCCTCATCCATTTTGTACTACACCTGCTAGACGAGCTTCACATGTCATTTTTATTCAATTATGTAATTAAATAGCAGCCCCTGGGGTTCGACAGTTGCACCAGGCCATGTTGGGTGTTGCTGATTACATGTTTCAATGCAGGACAATCCCTGAAAAATGTGTGTTTATGAGCGATTAACGATATTAACTAGGGTGTCTGATCTGCATATTTCATTTACAGTTGACGATTTTGGCTCAATTAACTTATCCTGCACATATTTACCTTCTGCCAGTTTGCCGAAGTTACCAGGGTTTGTACAAGGTGCTTAAAGTGCTTGAATTTGACTTTTTTTTTTATTTAAGTCCTGGAAACCCCTTGAAAACAGGTACTTGAAAGGTGCATGAATTATTGAAAGACAATATATGTGAAATTAGTGTTTAAATTTATCGATAAAACAATATTTTCACACAAAATTAACACTGCAGCCCGTCTGATGTAGAGCCGTTTCGCATGGCTATGAGTGTAATATTGCTCATAAATATCCAAGTATATGATACAGCTTTCATTCTTCATGTCAATCATATATTCATGGGGGAAAAATCAGTTTGAACAAGGAATATCTTTGTCATAGTGTCCTTTCAATGGGTAAAGTTACCAGTCATCGCATCTGCTGCACTTTATCTGTACCATTTTGTCTTATTGGTTCATTTTTTTATTTATCTTTAAACTTCTAAAAAAGGTAAATGGCTAGTGTTAGATAGGGGAGATCTCTGATTGTAGTCCCTGAAAACCAAAAAAGTAGTGCTTAAAGTACTTGAAAGTCCTGGAATTACATTTTACTGTCTCTGTACGAACCTGAGTCCCTTCCCTCAGTGTGTTTCTGCTAATTCGAGGAAGGTTGTGTGAAACGCTGATATTTCCACAGGGTTTGCAGCCCTAAATGAAGTGTTGTTGACCCTTACTGGTTAACACATTTAATACTCTTGTTAAGTTGCGGTGTGTCAACCTTTCCATAATAATGTTTCCGGGTCAGTTCATCTAAAAACAAGACGACTATAAAGAAACGTTCATTAGAAAAGTGTCATTAAAAAATCACTGAACTACCAAATGTTTAAAAAAAAAAAATTATTGAAACGGCAGTATTTAGATCTTGAAAAGGCATAGTACATATCTCTCTCAACAGCTGTTAATAAACCCTAGCTGAGCATGAGTATAATTATGTTACTTAATATAATGATGTCGTCATCTGTTGTTCTCCGCTGACAGCCAGTAACTGAACTGAAAAGCAGCACCTTATCATTGTCTAGCTTCTTGTCTGACTCGTGTAAATAATCTTACAAATACACTGCATAGATATAGAACATTCAGGGATGTTATTTTTTTTTTTTTATTTTTTTTTTACTTAAAAATCGAACATACTTCCACTTTTAAGTTTGTGTTTAGATGCATTCGCTTAACCCAGTTTATTGTTCATTGACTACTATTATTATCAGTGTTGGGGGAAGTTACTTTTTAAAAACAATGCATTACAATAATGTTTTACATCCCAAAAAAGTAATTGTTACTTGCATTACTTTTCATAAAAAGTAACCGTTACATTACTTTTGCATTACTTTTTCTCACCTGGGCTGGGCTTGCTGGGTTTATATATGTATGTATGACGAATACAGTCAGTCACAAGCGATCCAGGAGGCGGCGCACGGTAATGCAATGCTGTTTGCTAACAGTAAAGCGCGCAGAAGAAGAGCGAAAAGACGACGATCGACATGTTACATCTCTCAACCAGTGTTTCAACTGTGGAAAGATATCAATAAAGCAGTTTGAGAATATCTCACCTTTACCTCAGGCGTTTGGTGTCGACAGCAGTGTTCGCCAGAGAAATTAGCCTAACTCATTTCATGCATGCGGTATATTAGCCTCTTCATCACATTTACCTAACCTGATAGTTATGTCTTGCTGTCAGATACGTTGGTTGGGTTTGTTATACACGAGACCGTTACCGTTCGCTCTAGACAGAATGTCAAGTACTGACGGTTTTTACTTTGTTACTTTCTACTACTGCTTTTAGAGTTTATTTATGATAAAAGCGATCAAAGTCCATCCTATAACTCCATAAAGTGAGTTATATTGCCAGAACACATGCTTAGAATAAACACAGCGTTATCGCCTGCTGGTGTAATAGTTAGTAGTGATGTAGTTACTATGGTTAAAGTAGTTGTGTAAGTATTGTCAGTGTGAATGGGCTTTAAAATTCTTCAATCAGAAACAAACAAGTGGAAATTCGGTGATTGTTGTTGTTTCTTCAGTTGAACCGCTAATGGTTTGAGTCTGGTCTCCACTTACACTGATTGAGCTGAGGAGAGTGTATATATATATGGTTGATATATATGTATGATTGATCCTTTAGGTGAGTGTATATGGAGTTCACCCAGCACAATCACTACTATTTTTCCACATGGAGGAACATCAGAACCCTAAACAGCAGCAGCTACAGCAATACTGTGCATTTGTATTCATACAGTACACTTATTTTTGTAGAAATGTGCTACACTTAAACTTAATTCACAGTTGCTTGCCATGGAAGAGCAATAGGAAGATATAAAAGTATGTGATATGGTGTTAGAGGAAGAAGAAAATAAAATGAACAAGCAACTGTGAATTGACAGTTTACATGCAAAACATTTAACAAAAATGTACTGCAATTTTTTTGTGTGTACTACAGTATTGACTTCTAGTAAATGTTTACCTTCTGTTGACATCTGTATCTACAAATCTGTGTGACAGCATTCAGATAGACTAAACTGGCATTCTTGTATAAAGTCAACAAAAAAAAGTAGAATAAACACGACATTTGTATACACTCACCTAAAGGATTATTAGGAACACCTGTTCAGTTTCTCATTAATGCAATTATCTAATCAACCAATCACATGGCAGTTGCTTCAATGCATTTAGGGGTGTGGTCCTGGTCAAGACAATCTCCTGAACTCCAAACTGAGTGTCAGAATGGGAAAGAAAGGTGATTTAAGCAATTTTGAGCGTGGCATGGTTGTTGGTGCCAGACGGGCCGGTCTGAGTATTTCACAATCTGTTCAGTTACTGGGATTTTCACGCACAACCATTTCTAGGGTTTACAAAGAATGGTGTGAAAAGGGAAAAACATCCAGTATGCGGCAGTCCTGTGGGCGAAAATGCCTTGTTGATGCTAGAGGTCAGAGGAGAATGGGCCGACTGATTCAAGCTGATAGAAGAGCAACTTTGACTGAAATAACCACTCGTTACAACCGAGGTATGCAGCAAAGCATTTGTGAAGCCACAACACGCACAGCCTTGAGGCGGATGGGCTACAACAGCAGAAGACCCCACCGGGTACCACTCATCTCCACTACAAATAGGAAAAAGAGGCTACAATTTGCAAGAGCTCACCAAAATTGGACAGTTGAAGACTGGAAAAATGTTGCCTGGTCTGATGAGTCTCGATTTCTGTTGAGACATTCAGATGGTAGAGTCAGAATTTGGCGTACATGGCGTACAACATGCCTTGTTACCACTGTGCAGGGTGGTGGTGGTGGTGGTGTAATGGTGTGGGGGATGTTTTCTTGGCACACTTTAGGCCCCTTAGTGCCAATTGGGCATCGTTTAAATGCCACGGCCTACCTGAGCATTGTTTCTGACCATGTCCATCCCTTTATGGCCACCATGTACCCATCCTCTGATGGCTACTTCCAGCAGGATAATGCACCATGTCACAAAGTTCGAATCATTTCAAATTGGTTTCTTGAACATGACAATGAGTTCACTGTACTAAAATGGCCCCCACAGTCACCAGATGTCAACCCAATAGAGCATCTTTGGGATGTGGTGGAATGGGAGCTTCGTGCCCTGGATGTGCATCCCACAAATCTCCATCAACTGCAAGATGCTATCCTATCAATATGGGCCAACATTTCTAAAGAATGCTTTCAGCACCTTGTTGAATCAATGCCACGTAGAATTAAGGCAGTTCTGAAGGCGAAAGGGGGCCAAACACAGTATTAGTATGGTGTTCCTAATAATCCTTTAGGTGAGTGTATATAACAAGTACATTTCCATGGTGAAAACATCTAATTTCGACCAGTGTGTCTCACACGATGACAAAAACACTTTTTATTTTGGTGGCATTGTCCAGTTTACTGACACAATAACTAGGTTTTGAAGCATGAATTAAAGGTTTTTGGGTCATAGACAGTGTTGGGGAAAGTTACTTTGAAAAGTAATGGATTAAAATATTGAGTTACTCCCTTAAAAAGTAGCTAACTAAATGCGTTACTTAGTTGCATTTTTAGAAAAGTAATGTGTTCTGTTACACTTGTTACTTTTTTCACCTTGGTTATTATAAGATTCATTTTATTTAAATAGGGACAATGCACAAGTTAACATTAACCTTGTATAAAAACAAGGAGAGATACTGGATAACAGAAGAATACGATGCAGGAGAAACAAAGTTTAACATTTTACCAATAAAACAAAAAAAATCTATTGTCATTTTTGTTAAGCGATTGAGGAAGGCTGTAATACTGCTTCTTATTGCTTGAGTGTCCCGCTTGTTTAGTTGTGTGTTTTGTCCTCAGGGTTGGATGAACGAGATCTACAGCTACGACCCGGAGACGTATCACGCCACGCTCACACACTCAGTGTATGTGCGTCTGGAGGGCTCGGTGCTGCGCCTGTCCAAACCCAACCGCAACGTCCCGCGCCGGGCCACCTTCAGCGAGCTCAAGCCCGACGTCTCCTACATCAGCCAGAAGATCTATGATCTCACCAACAGTAAAGTGAGTGTTAGATGCAATGAATTCAGCCCATAATGTACAGGCCACATTTAAACTTGGTTTTGTAGAGAATTGTAAGTATGCTATGTGCTTGCTTTTTTTTTTTTTTGTCAAATACAAATTTAAGTTTAACTTTCATTGATAGAATGCTTTTTCCTTGCATCGAAGCGGCTCTGATGCAGCATTTCTATGGATGCTTGTTTCCGTCTCAGAAAGAAAAAGAAAAAAGGTAATTGCGACTTTTTATCTCACAATTCTGACTTTTTTTCTCACAATTTGCGATTTTACATCTCGCAATTGTGTTATAAAGTCAGAATTGCATGATATAAAGTCACAATTGTGTGTTAAAGTCGCAATTGCATGATATAAAGTGAGAATTTCGTGATATAAAGTCGCAATTGCGTGATAGTCACAATTTTGTGTTAGTCGCAATTGTGTTATAAAGTTAGAATTGCATGTTATAAAGTCGCAATTGTGTGTTAAAGGGGTCATATAATGCCATTTTTGTACAAGCTAATATGATTCTTTAGAGTCTAAATTAAAACTTTGTAATATACTTTAATTAAAAATTCTCATTAGTATTGTAAGAAAACACTTATTTTACCTGGTCAAAAACAGCTCTGTTTTCAGCACACCGTTTCAGTGCATATGCCTTTAAATGATCATGAGCTTTGCTCACTCCGCCTCTCTGTTCTGTGCGTACACCATTTGTAACACAATAACCATAACGCGTTGTTCATTATAGATGTGGGATTATGAATTATATTGAGAACGTCGTACATAGAAAACATGCCGTAATGTACCCTGAGTGTAAACCTTAGACGCATTCATTGTGAAGCGTGCATCTAGCGATTTGCAAAGATTAATATAAATATTAAAGATTAATAAAACGATACACTCACTTCAGTTCTTCTGGAGGTTCAGCAGGAACACGAATAGTTGGTACTTCTTAGCAAAACCAGCTTTATACTGACCCTCGTTTATAAGCAGTCTGGTGTGTGAAATGATTCACGCAAACATGAGAGCATTGACGTTGCTCGTGGGGAATATTCCCTTCGAAAACAAACTCAGCCACTGCGTCTTCAGCGGTTCGGATTTAGGAACATTAAAATGACTGTGTTCGTTATTACACCCAAGAACAGAACACCACAATCGCTTAGACGCCATTCTGCTCATAGACAGTGCTCCAGCATATCAACAATGACCGCGCCGCGCCGCGCAGACTATGATTGAAAGGACGAGCGAGGGCGGGTCTGTGTTGAAACCCGGCTGTCAATCAACAGTCGTGGGAGGGGCGTCCGTTTTATTGACGTCACAAAAACGAACGGCTCAATTTGAGGCAGGGGAAAACATATAAGGAGATTAAAACAAAAACACTGGATGGATTTTTATCATTATATGATGTTTGTGACCAGGCACTGCCAACACACATTTCAGTACAATCAACTTGTAAAAGTGCATGTGCCATTATATGACCCCTTTAAAGTGTGTGTTAAAGTCGCAATTGTGTGTTAAAGTTCCAATTGCGTGTTATAAAGTGAGAATTGCGTGATATAAAGACGCAATTGTGTGTTAGTTTCAATTGTGTGTTATAAAGTTAGAATTGCATGTTATAAAGTCGCAATTTGCGTGTTAGTCGCAATTGTGTTTTAGTCGCAATTGTGTTAAAGTCGCAATTGTGTGTTGTGTTATAAAGTTAGAATTGCATGTTATAAAGTGAGAATTGCGTGATATAAAGTCGCAATTGTGTGTTAGTCGCAATTGTGTGTTAGTCGCAATTGTGTTAAAGTCACAATTGTGTGTTATAAAGTTAGAATTGCATGTTATAAAGTCGCAATTGTGTGTTAAAGTCAGAATTGTGAGATAAAAAGTCACAATTATCTTTTAAAATGTTTTATTCTGTGGTGGAAACAAGCTTCCATAGCATTTCACTAAAAACATTGTTCTTTTGCCAAACAAAACTCCTTAAACCCTTTAAATACATACTATTAATGTTATATTTACATACTGTATAGCAAATGAAGGTTGAGTTTGAGTGGTGGTATTGCAGATCTACCTGGTGCCCCAGAGCCTGGCCCGGAAAAGGGTGTGGAACAAGAAGTACCCCATCTGCATCGAGCTGGCCAAGCAGGACGACTTCATGGCCAAAGCTCAGGGCGAGAGGAGCGAGGTGTCGGAGGAGAAGACCCCTGTCCTCGGAGAAAAGCCTGAGAGCGTGGCCGTCCCGGAGGAACCCAAGAGAGCGCACACTCAACCTGTGCTGTACCTGTTCGGGAGGACCGGGCGAGACAAGGAGGAGTGGTTCAGGAGGATGCTGTTTGCCTCCAAACTGAAATACGAAGCCAAGAAGCCCTCGGGCCTGCCGACAAGTAAGAGTGAAGCTCATCTGTACTAGTGGCGCTTGATTCAGATCGGGAGTTCTTTCATTAAAGGGGCTGTATTAGTGTTATTAGCGACACCGGTGGCCGTTAAGTGAACTGCAGCTGAAACTCTCACGCAACGTACAATAGACTGACCGTGATTCAACGCCCTGATATACTTACGGCGAAGTTGTGTGAAACTTCACCCTGTGGTGAAAATCAAGATTTTAATGTTGTTTATGTGTCTATGTGGTGTTTTTAATATGCTTTAAGACAAACCATGTGTAAATTCATAAGTCGACAGCATTGCTGAATATTTTCTGCTTAAAACTGCAGTGAACCAAAGACAGTCTCAAACACACGGTTAGAAATCGCTGGTGTTTCTGACGTCACACACGACCTTGTAACCAATCAGATCAACGTGTGATCGTCAACCAGTGGATCTCTGAGCTGAGTGAGTGGAGGCGGGGCTCATTTGCATATTCATAGAACCACGCATACTAGATGAGGCAAGGGTGTCGAGTTACATTCAAGATGTTTTAAGTCACTAAGAAACATTTTTCAAGGAAAATTGATGCTGGATGACAAGATTTTGTTTGAATAAGAAATGAATAAGAAAATTTTGTAGCGAAATTGGCCAGTGAGTGAAAAAGTTAATTTCAAACCCTTTTGTGTTTGTAAAGAGTGTAGCATTATGTTTCTGATCTCTCTCTCTCTCTCCCTCCCTCTCTCTCTCTCTCTCTCTCTCCCTCCCTCTCTCTCTCTCTCTCTCTCTCTCTCGGCAGGCGGTCTGTCTCAGAGTCGCAGCAGCAGTCGTTGCAGTCTGGATGAAGTGCTCCAGTCTCATCCCAGGCAAAAAGACCTCGGTGCCAGTGTCAAACAGAAGGTTCTGGAGTACAACGTCTACATGGCCAAATATGTGAGCCAGTCCACCGGCAGCCCGGCCGCAAGCCCTGTCCAGAGCGCTGGAAACAGCCCGGGAACCGTCAAGAAGGTAAACATTAATCAGAAAGCATCTCACATTTAAAAACCAAACATCAAATAAACAGGTTTAGGGGCTGTTTGCACGACACCGTTTTCAACTTAAAAACTTAAAACTTTTAATGCGTTTTGGACGTTCGTTTACACGACGACGGCGTTTTGGCCGCCTGAAAAGGAAAACTTTTAAAACCGGGTTTCAAACTGCAAGTTTTTGAAAACGGTCTCTGTGTAAAACGACAAAATCGTGAATCTCTGAAGACAATGACGTCATGCACATGCGTATTACGTGTTCAGTCTACAGTGTTTCATCGCCATCTACTGGCCTGGCAGCAGAATACAGCGCTTTTAGCCGTTTTCGTGGATCCGTGTGAATGGGGATCGTTTTCACAATGGTGTCGTCTGTACGCAGAAAACTCAAGGAAAAACTTCTCCGTTTCAAGCATATCGTCATCATGTAAACGTAGCCTTAGTTGTAATGGTGTACCATTGGATGAGCCATGTTTGAAAACATTTCTATAACCTGTAATCAATCATACAAAGTTAACTCCATATTTCCAAACTGTATTCTATGTAACATGCTTGTTGTTTGTTACATTTACTGGAAACTGGAAACCATGCTAACACCTAGCCTCCTGTGGCTTATTTACGTGAAACACTTGGGGATCTTTTAGAAATATTACATATACTTAGTGCAAAACTTCTTCATTTTCAGAAAACAGTGAAATTAGTTGTATGTTCAACTAAAGTAGAAGTATGTGTTTGTCTTGTAGTTTCCAGAGAGTCGTGAGCAGGAGGCCGAGTCCGAGGCCTGGGTCAATGCTCTTTTGGGTCGCATCTTCTGGGACTTTCTTGGAGAGAAATACTGGGCAGACGTGGTGTCCAAGAAGATCCAGAAAAAGCTGAGTAAGATCAGGGTGAGTCCTGATAGGTGTGTGACTATCCGACTGCGTGTTTCACTTCAGACAGTAACTTAGTGTACTGTTTATTCCAGCTCCCGTACTTCATGAATGAGCTGACCCTCACTGAGCTGGACATGGGGATATCCATTCCCAAGATCCTCAGCTCCTCCAAACCATCCGTAGATCACAGAGGTAAGGCCTGGTCTGGACTCCTCAATTTATATGATGTTATATCAGGGTTTAACATTAAAAACCATGCCAAATGTGTGTATTTCAGTATTGGCGTGTAACACACTCACTCCTATTAGCCACTTTGGCGGGATGAATTTTATATAATATACATGTGAAATGATAAACTAAGTGCAATGTAGTGTTGTCAACAATATAGATTTTTCGATATTACATATCGATACTGAAATATCTGAAACTCTGATACACAATACCAGCTGCTCTTTCTCTCTCTCTCATCTCTCCAACAGCGAATGACACACAAACCCTCCTCTCAAACACTCACTCGTTTCATTTGCTCTGGATGAATATTGTTGGCGTTACAGGGCTTGAATTTCTGTGTGGGATTGCACATATTGAGCATAATTTTACTCATCCTGCAGATTTTGTGCTCACACCCAAAGTGTGGCACACATAAAGACAAGTATATTGGCTATATAAAACAGTTTAATGGATCCGTGCGTCAGGTCTTAAAGTGACAGCAGCCTAATATACCGGCCGCCAAATTATGAGATGATTTTAAAAATATCTATATGCCATTTTTTGCCCTATGGTATCAATGTCAAAATTGTGGCCAGTAGACACTGTAATAATATACTGACCCAACGCCTTTGGGTAATATTAGTATATGTTTGTATTTTTAAATCTTATCTTAAGACTTATTTATTCACTCTGGCTTTTAACACTCTGTAGTTTGTCATCCTGGGTTTCTCTTTTATTCTATTGATTGCGTATTACTTATTTTGGCTTGTTTGTTATATTATTTTACTCTTTGTAAAGCACTTTGGTCAACTTTGGTTGTGAACGTGCTCTAGATATAAATGATTGATTTAAGTATTGAAGCAGAGCAACTTACCCGAGCCATTGCTTATGTTTTCATACATTTTATTTGAAGTTTTGGTTCTTTCAGCAGTGTCGTGTGATCTTTTTCAGCTCTTAATAAAAAATAAATGTCTATACATTAGGGCTGGGCGATATATCGCATGCTTGTTATGCGCGTCTCTTCAGTAAAGCCGGTTCCTTGATTAGTAGTAAATCACCTTCACCTGCTTTCAGATGGAAGATATGATGCAGATATGAGTGATAAATTAACACTCAAGAGTGTTAAAGTTAATGAGATAATTAAGTGATGATTGGGCGTTATTGAAGACACCTGATGTTAACAAGCAGAATCACTGAAGGAGAAAATCACAAATTGTAAGCCACCGTTATGGCGATCAGTGTTTGCTTTAGTTGGGCTCTTGACCCTTATACTTATTTAAATTAAATTTTGTTTGTCTGCTGCTATTGATTTATAACAGTTAAATGAACAAAGAAAAGTGTGATCTGATTGTGTTGGTTATGTTTTGGCATAATCATGCTGTGATCTGAAAAATGAAGCTTTTTGAAGTAGTTTGGTTTATCTTGTTAGTAAAAGTTTTGTGATTCTCAACATATGATTATCAGTATTTTTCTTATAATCCAAAATTTTTAATAAACATCATTCTTATAAAAACACTTTCAAAAGAATTTATTTAGAAACACAGACATCAATAATCAGCCTGTGAATCTCAACAATGGTGACAATAATAATGCATGTTGCAGTGGCTGCCACCAATCACAACTCATTAATGGCTCCCATCATGCATTGCGGTATGAATAAATTATGATCTGAATTGTCTATGTAATTTACTTTTCCTAATTGAATATTCTGCTCGTCACCATTGTTGAGATGCATTGACTGAATCTTGACGTCTGTGTGTGCCTAATAGAATGATTTTTTTTTTAAAACAACATTTAAGAAATCCTTCATATTATATCTAAAATTCTGGAAGTTTATGCAGAATCACAGTTATGCTGTAACCAACAGCATGAATCACAGACATGAAGTTCTAATGATGATTGTCATAATATAACCAACAGCATTAGATGCTTTTTTTTTTCTTTGTTCAACTGGCAGTTGAACAACTGATACAACAGACAAACTAAATCTAAAGTTAATAATATAAGGGTCAAGAGCCCAACTAAAGCAAACACTGATCGCCATAACGGTGGCTTACAATTTTAGATTTTCTCCTTCAGTGATTCTGCTTTAGGTGTCTTCAATAATGCTCAATCATCACTCAATTAATCACTTAATTATCTCATTAACTTTAACACTCGTGAGTGTGGACTCATATACACTCCCAGGAGTGTTAATTTAACACTGGAGTTTTTGCTGTGTACAAAGAGCCGTAGTTAACTGACAAGCTGAGCCATATCGCATTAAATATCGCTGGCGATACGTCTGCGATATTAATGCGATATGGCTCAGCTTGTCAGTTAACTAAGGCTCTTTGTAGTAAATGCCGCTCCATCTGAAAGCAGGTGAAGGCGATTTACTACTAATCAAGGAACCGGCTTTACTGACGAGATGCGCATAACAATATCGTGCGATATATCGCCCAGCCCTACTATACATACTCAAATCTTTTACCGAAACCATTAGATGTGCCTCATTGACACAGTCAAGCTATATCTCTTTTTATAGCGCTTTTACCAATATAGCTCATTTCAAAGCAGCTTTACAGTGATAATAGGAGATTACAGTAACAGAGATTGTGTGGCTTTACAGCAGCTCTAGAATAAAGTAATTGTCCAGATAAAGTTAGTTTTGATTGATTCACTTCCATTGCAAAGATAGTTATTAACTTAGGGGCCGCTAACACGACACCGCTCTAACTGAACACTTTACTGTGTTCTGGCCGTTCATCCGCACAGCAGCAGTGTTTGGGGCTCCAGAACGCAAACCTAGAGACACGCTCAAAGGTCCAAGCGTTGAAAAATTACTTATCAGGCCTTAAAAATTCCTAATACAGAATTGTTGTGTCTCTGCCTATAAGTGCCGATGGAGCGGCTCCCCTACAGTTACTGCTCCGGTGGATGTGTGTGAGATTTGGTAAAAGGCCAGACCCCTGCCAGCTTGTTAAACTTCTCGTTCGTCATCTAGGAAGCGACCCGCTGGGTTTAGAGGATCAGTGTGTGTCTGAGCCAATCAGAGAGGAGCGAACTCCAGCGCTAACCTTTCACTCCCTCAGGAGGAGACCCAGGGGTGCACTGGCGACTCCTGCATCGGTTTAATCAGTGTGTCCTCATGCTGGGTGTAGAGTTCAGCCAGATTCATTTGGGGGATGATGTTTGAATCTGGGAAATGTCAAGGAAAGTAATGCTGTGCATGTTTTTCAGGGGACAACATCCGAATTTATATTGGCGACTGGTGACTGGTTGTGTCAGAATAGTACAGAAGCAGTGCTTTGTGGGCTAGTGAAACTTAATGTGTGCAATTGTGGAGACGCTAGCGATAACAAGTTAGCTTTGAAAGCATACACAGTCCCTTCAGAGCATCTCCAAAGACACGCCTCCTAAAAAACACATGCAAACTGCGTTTAACCACCTCATGTCTCGAAGCACATAACATTACATTTATAATGAACGTAAACCACTTATAGAGCTCTAGTTGCACCACCTGACTGCTGCAGAGTCATTTCAGCGTTGATGGTGTTGGTATAGAAACGCATAAACCCGAGTCTGAGGACGTGAACGTCACGGGTTGCCATCTCGTTATTGCGGTTACGACATGGTGTGAACGCAGCATAGGCTTGATGTTTTGGTTCAGGAGAAGCTGTAAAAGGCGGCTGCTGTTTGTTCGCGGCGCTCATTAGCCGTGTTTCCATTATCCTTCAAATTGTGCATATTGAAAATACGCCCAGTGGAAACGCACCAATTTCACAAAAACTCCCATATATCGCAAATAAGTTTTAACGCTTGCATGATGTGGTTTTCCAGGCAATTCGAAACAGGAATATTTCGCAAAACTGCAATGGAAACAGTGTTTGTGCATTTACAGTCACCTGACGTACGTAACAGTCGATCACTCTTTAAAGATGACGTGTGTGTTTGGACAGAAGACGAGACACAGTTAAACTCATAAAAGACAAAAGAATCACGGGAATACTGTATTCTACACAAAGAAATGCCACAGTTTATCGAGATCTTGAAGCAGAAATGAGGGAGAAACTCCCAGAAACTCCTCATATGAGCCACTCTCAGTATAAGAGGCTTTCCTTGGCAGCTTGAAGAACACATCTACGTCTCCTGACATTAACAATAATGGCTAGTGCGGCGACTGATGCATATGTTGACAGGCAGGGAGGACATCCTATCATTGAGTTCGGACCGAATGTAATCATTGGATTAACGCTTTTTTGTTCCTGAGACTTCCAGAGAAGATGCATCTACATGTTTTAATATTTACACCATGTCTGTTAATGATTGCTATCAGAGTTTCAACCAGTGTAAAAAGTGTTTAATAAATGTTTATAAAACAAAGTGTCTTAGCCTACCTTTAATGATAAAATGATGATGAAAAAGTATAATAATATACATACAATACAACAATATATCATATAATTTAGAGCATATGGATTCCAAACATACAGTTGTATAATCAGTCGCAGATTACTCTGAAATATGAAGAGAAACATTGCATTAAATAATTTGAGTCGTGCATTGTATCATGCATGTAGTGACATTCATTTTTAAACATGTCTCCTTTCGCAGGCCTTTGGTTTGACCTGGAGATCTCGTACAACGGTTCGTTTCTCATGACTCTTGAAACCAAGATGAACCTGACCAGACTGGGAAAGGAGGGAGAAAGCTTAGGAGAACAGGGGAAAGAAGGGTAAGAGAATGAAGACCAACGTTGGCACTTGCTCCAAATATCTAGGCTTCTTCTTCTTTATTTCTGTGTTCTTTTGATGGGTTATTTTTCTGTTGGATGTATTTATAATTTCCTCTTTTTGCTGTTTCCGCTGGACTCATTTCTTTGTGGATGTGATCTCTTGATGGTGAGTTGAATCAGGGCTTTCTGAAGTCTCTCATTATGTGTTTGCACATGTTGTTCCTGCTTTCCTCCACATCCGCTGTGTTCTGCATGTGCTCACAGAAGCTCTCTTCCAAACCCTTGATTAAGCCTTTGTGTCTGACACACTCAGATGATGCCTAAAAGTGGTTCGGAACAGACCTTTCGTTTTCATGGAGAGTTAGTTTTTTTGTACGGTGTATTTTAGGTGTGTTGCAAGAGCTTTGCACATTCCCTTGCGCTCAGAAAGCCAGTTATGATGGAAACATGGCGCATAAGCTGTTGTCTGTTTGTGTGATGCACTAGACCCAGACCGCGCGCTTACTTCTTGGCCGACAGTGATGAAGAGTCATCGAGTGCGGGATCCTCTGATGAGGAAGATGCTGCCGAAGTGCCTGAGATTACAGGAGTGGAAGGGTGAGGTTATTTATTTCTGTGTTTAACAGTGGCAACGTTTACATGCAACCAAATAATGGGATTGACGGCTCAATCGGGCTGAAAAGCCTTCCTTAATCGATCCGAATGAGATTTCGATCGGATTGAAAGGAGTGGTTTATTCCTTTTCTAATCCGATCGAGAGAACATGTAAGCTGTGGGTTCCTGTCCTCCTCTATTTGGGCAATGTGTGGACCGCCTTGAGTCATAGTGAGTGCCAAGTAGGGCTGGGTATTGACACAAGTTTCACAATTCGATTCACAAGCTTGCGATTCGATTCCGATTCAATATTGATTATTTTGGATATCAGGTACAACAATACAAACTAATGCTGTAAACTATGGGAGACACTTGTATCCTATAGGCTTCATTAGCCGACTATAATATTGAAGGTAAAAATTAACTGAGCTGTATACAAACACTAAAATTACACTTTTATTTATTTTTATAATAAAGTTATATGAAATATAAACACTTATACCATGGTCTGGGTGAATACTCGATTCTGATTGGCTGCAGGGTGTCCATTAAAAAGTGATAGTCAAAGTATCCGTTTACAATTTATTGTATCAAAACAAATATCTAGTTAGCCGTTATACTATGCCTTCCTGTGTGTTTTAATTATAGGTTAAAAAAACAAAAGTGTAACGCCCATGGCTAGACAAGCCTAACTTACATGAAAACAAATACGTCAACTTTCTGGCTCGTAAGTTAGCTAAACTGAAGAATATTTAATATTGAAGAACATTAAATATTATAATGAATATGTAAAATGGTGCATATATTTAGCAAATGCTCCTCTCTAGAGTTAATTTTTCTCGCTGACTAACGAGTTTATGGTCACTAGATATGGTTTTTTGTGATGTTACATGACATGCTGTTTTACTGACGTCTTTCCACGGTTGAAACACTGAGCGATTCCATGTGACATGATACGGATTTCGGATTTTAATGCATGGCATTAAAAGATGGCCACACACCTGTAGAAAACCCTGCATGAATAACTCTTTTCTTCACAGTTATGTTGGCGGACACCGATCCAGCAAAATCATGCGCTTTGTGGACAAGATTGCCAAGTCCAAGTATTTCCAGAAAGCCACAGAGACGGAGTTCATCAAGAAGAAGATGGAGGAGGTGTCCAACACCCCGCTGGTGCTGACGGTGGAGGTCCAGGAGTGCCAGGGAACACTAGCGGTCAACATCCCACCGCCTCCGACTGACCGCATCTGGTATACCGCATTCATTCATACCCTATACACATCTATACAGGATCAGGCTTCGTTCAGAGACTGTTAAACGAAATTACAGGACTTTTCAAGCACTACTTCTTTGGTTTTCAAGGACTACAATCAGAGATCTCCCCTATCAAACACTATCTTTATTATCTTTCAACTTCTAAAGAAGGTAAATTGATTAATAAAAATAAACTAATAAAGCAAAATGGTACAGATAAAGTGCAGCAGATGCGATGACGGGTAACTTTAAGCATTGAAAGCACACTATGACAAAGATGTTCCTTATTCAAACAGATTTTTCTCTTCATTAATATATGATTGACATTAAGAATGAAAGCTGTATCATATACTTATTTTATATATATTTATGAGCAATGTCACGCTCATAGCCATGCGAAACGGCTCTATATCTTGGCTATATCAGACGGGCTGCAGCAGAAATTGTGTGAAAAGATTGTTTTATCAATAAAATCATATATGGTGTTTTAATAATTTAAGTGCTTTTCAAGTACATTTTCATAAACATGGCTGTTTTTCAGGACTTGAATTTCAAAAAGTCAAATTCAAGCATTTTAAGCAGCTTGTACGAACCCTGCAGAATTATAGGGCGATAGTCGCGGTGTCCGAAAGCTTAACAACTCTGCCTTCGAGGACACATTTCAAGGCACATCCGAATCCAGTGTTAGTTTCAGTTCCGGTCTACTGAGAAACCCTCATCTGACCGATCTTTGAAGGCGGCGTAGAGGTGTCCAGGGTTTGAAATTAACTTTTTCACTAACCAGCCAATTTGGCTACTAAATTAGGCTACCGGCCACTTGCGTAGTGACGTGTGTGTGTGTGTTCAAGTAAGCCAGATATGAGCAGATTCTGCGCGATAAACTGTGTTTAATATATCATGAGGACTCAGGAGTATTTGCACTAAATTTGTCTCACACGAACTTCCCCAGCAAACTGAGTAAACATAAGTAACACGCCGAATTGGCTCGTGATTTGACAGCGTTACCCGCCACAGTTGATTTTTACCCGATTGGCGGGTGTTAGTTTCAAACCCTGTATGTATCCTTCGCTGCCTTTGATATCCCACAATCCTGTGCTTTCCATTCTGTGACAGTTAAGCTAAAAAAATAAAGATGGCGTTTGAAAGTTATGGTTGGTCGTCAGTTTGTGTGTAAATGTACATTTTTGACTAATATTTTCCACTTCTGATGTCATTTCTAGCAGGAAATGACTGTTGTAGTAATTACATATTAGCTTAGTTCTCACTAAAGCTCTTCTGTGCTGTAGATCATTAAACCGTAGCGCTGCGTCAGAAGTTACGCTACCGCAGTTTCGCAAGATGCCTTCAATTTCCTGATAAGGCAGCGAGGCAACACATCTGTGTTGTCTTTTCCTAATGCACCCGGCGTCTTTGTGCATCATTAATGTTGCATTCATGCCATCTGCTGGTCATAACTCAGGACACGCGGCAAGATATCTCAAGATTGGATTTAAAATTAATTTTAAAGATTTCATTGCATGGATGAAGCTCACGAAACCTGTCAAAAGAGTAAAAAAATTGCCAAAAATCACAAGTAAGAAATAAGGAATTATGTTTTACCCAAATACAGTGTCTTCATGGGCCAATAAGATTTATTTCTGACAGTTAAAGGTTAGTTAGTTCACTCAAAAAGGAAAAATCTCACCCTCATGTCGTTCCAAACCCGTAAGACTTTCATTCATCTTCCAAACACAAATGTTTTTAATGAACTCTGATAGATTTCTGTCCCTCCATTGACAGACTAAGCAACTACCACTTCGATGCTTCAAATAGTTCATAAAGAGATCGTAAAAATAATCCATATGAATAGAGCGATTTAGTCCAAATTTTCTGAAGAGACTCCATCACTTTATATGATGAACAGATTGAATTTAGACTTTTATTCACATATTAACATTAATCAACTCACACATTGTTATGATAAACAGAAGCTCAAGCATGAGAGCCAATGAGGTTAACTTTCGTTACACGTTTGAGCTTCTGATCAATGTTTAAATGTGAATAATTTCACATTTTACGATCTCTTTATGAACTTTCTGAAACGTCAAAGTGGTAGTTGCTTAGTCTGTCAATGGAGGGACAGAAATCTCTCAGAGTTCATTAAAAACATCTTCATTTGTGTTCCCAAGATGAAGGAAAGTCTTACCGGTTTGGAACGACGTGAGGGTGATTGGTGACCATTATTTTAATTTTTGGCTGAACGATCCCTTAAACCAGTGCTATGCAGTGAAGAAATGCAGGTTACGGGGAAATGATGTGTTCAGAGTGAAGGACATGTGCTGATGTGTGTGTGTGTGTGTGTGTGTGTTTCTGTCAGGTATGGTTTCAGAAAGCCTCCTCGTCTGGAACTGAAAGCTCGGCCTAAGCTGGGCGAGAGAGAGGTTACTTTTGCTCATGTGACGGACTGGATAGAGAAGAAACTAGATCAGGAGTTTCAGGTAAATCGGTTGGTCTTCTTAAAGGTGTCCTAGGCCATTGGTTCTCGAGGTCCAGTTTGATCACGGCTGAAGCTAAACAGGACAGTGGACGACACCGTGGCATTATTGGTGCATGTATGACGTTACTTTATAGGCCAACCGGCAGTTTGGGAACCATCTGGTTCCCTCCGCAAAAACTCAATAGGATTCTCCCATAGGCTTCTGGATTATCGCTAAAAACAAGCTCTGTGATCAACAAAAGTTGCACGTTTTGTCCATCAAGATAACTATCACAGCTTTTATGAATTTTGAAGCCTAAATGCAGTCGCCAGAAGTAAAAAGCTAAAGGTAGGCTATAAGCGAATTACACCACGGTCTACGAATTCAACGTCACAAAGTTGCCAGAAGCTTAGCGATGATCAAAACACATCTTCCCAGAACGTTAGAGTTAGAATAATTCATAAGATTATTCTAAGCATAACGATGCTGTAAAAGCGGACTGAGTTCGGTGTGATGATGTTTAATCTCCTCGACAGCCTCTTGTCACGTTAAGCCACTTGTTAGCTAGAACCGCCTTCTTCAAGACATGTAACCGCTTCAAAAAAATCACGAGTGGGTAATACTGATGTGTTTTATGTTGTTGAATAAAACGTGAAAGTGTCTTGAGCTTGTGTTCAGCCATTTAACTCCAAAAACCCATTGACTTCGGGACCGGAAGTGCTAAAAGGCTGACTCGTTTTGGCCTGCAAAGTGATGTCATACCTGCACCTCTCTATTAGTGGTTCCCCTCTGCAATTAAGAGCTGAAAACCCATAATTACCAGCCGAATACATGCACGTACCTTCAAATACACTTTAATTTAAGGTGTTCTAGTGTACACAAATACTGTGCTGTATATTAATTATCAACACGTGCTTACTCTAGGTAAATTAATAATAACAGTAAATCGTGCATAGAGTAAGTAGGAACAAGGAAACTATTAAAAAAAGGGTTACATTTAAGTACTAAGTAATATTAAGCAACTACATGTACTTACTATAGGGTTAGGGTTTGGTTGGAGGGTTAGTTGCATGTGATTATACATAATTTACTGTTATTAGTACATGTAACATATGTAACAAGGACACTGTAAAATAAAGTGTTATCAGAGAATTTGCCAATTTCTCAGGTCAAAATGAACAGTAAATTGTACAAACGCCAAACGTTCCTCACTCCATATCTGTTTGCTGATAACAGACGAGGCTTTTGTGTTGATGTATTGTCATCACTTCCTTCTCTTTGCCCTCTTACCTTCCGCAGAAAATCTTTGTAATGCCAAACATGGATGACGTCTGGCTGCCTATCATGCACTCTGCCATGGACACGCGGTCCGACGCCAATGCCTTGAAGGACGAGGACACCGCGGACCCCGAGGAATCCCTTGATGACATGTGAAGATGTGCTTCTGTGTAAAGCAGAAGAGAAACACTCAAGTCCCATGAGGGCAAGACTATACCTGACTTGGAAATTACAGGTGCCATATTGCCCATTGAACACAGCTGTGAAAAATACCAACACATCCATAACTAAAAGAAAGGACAAAATTGCTTGCTTGCTTGCTTTTGATTTGATTGGGACAGTCCCGAATGCACATGCTGTTGGCCCTCGAAAACAGGATGAAAGAGGTTTTGGTGATGCGTACAGGTGAAGTGACATAGAAGGTCTGGGTAAAGTGTACTCTACCTCTGTTTGATGCACGCTGACTTACCAAACGTCCCGGGGTCGCATGGCACAACCTAAACTCTTATCCTGTAATAGCCTAAGGCCTGGTCAGCAGATTTGATCACAGGACTTTTTAAACCACATTTGAGGGTTCGATATTTGAAGACGTGACACCAGTAAATGGTCATTTTAGCCAAACCTAAAAGCCATTTATGATTTTCTCGTGATTGTCATACGCTTCTAAGCAGCAAATAATTGTTTAGACTCAACAGACCTACAAGTACACCATTTTTCTCTTCCGTTCACCGCTGCCTGAGCCCTCTGTGTGGCGTCCGATTATGCAATTAGATCAATTTCACTGTGCTCAAGAGGGACACCAGCCAATAACCCCTCATTCCTTAGCGATCCCGACTCAAACAGCCTATTCTAGTGGGTTCATAGCTTTCCATCTGCAGGCATTGGCCCTCAGTGGGTCTCAAACGAGGGGAACAAACGTGCTAACAATGCTAATGTGCATAAACCGGCTCATAAATGCTCCCCATATCATTGTATACTTTTAGTTTGTCATCTAATCAAGTGTATTTTGGTGCAAATTCCCTTCACAGAACCCAAAAAGATCTGTAGGTCAATGTTGGAGGGCTAATTCACCTTGGAAATTTCCTATTGGCTTTTAGAATAGTGTTTTGTTTTGGGGATTGTATGAGTAAAATGAGGTCTGTGGTAAACATAACCTAACGTTTTTCATGAATTACACATCGAATGTGAATCTGAAGCTGCTGTTTTGTCGCTAGGTAAAGAGTACAACCCATAAACAAACATCCTTGTGGTGTTTTTTGAGAAACACTATTCATTAACCCCACTGGAAAGTCCCAAGGCTTGGGAAACTAATTCTCCTGAAGACTGAATGGCTTTATTTAGCAGATGCTAATTCGACTGGTTGCGTGACGCGCTCTCACCATGGAACCGTTAACATAAAGTGGAGAAGATATGATTATGGTCATCATTCACTTGAAATGAGGATGTTTTTGCGTTGACCACAGTGTTTAATGTGGTGGGCTACAAATAAGTGCTATTCTATTTCCAACACCGATGAACTCGTATGTCGTGTACCTGTGGAGAAGATTGTTGAATGTACAAAGCGTTTTCGTCCACCTTGTTTGGCATATTTTATCAAGTGTTAATATCCGTGATGTTCATTGTCAGGTTTTTTCTTTTCACTGCGCTCGCAGGTCATATGGTGTATTAAATCAGGTAGGTCGTTTCTGTTGGATTATCAGTGGCAAGTGATTTGCCAAATAAAATATCATCAATGAATTTTGACATTCATCCATTATCAGATACTTCACATGTATTGAGAGGTCTGAGAAAAAGTGTTTTATATCCAACAAACATGACAAGGTCTGTATCTTAGCCGGCGCTAAGGTGTCAGTGAACGTAAATTGTGGTTATTTCCACATCTGTTTTGGACTAAAGTCCAAATAATCAATCCTACATGTACTTTGATTTCAATGCGTTTACTTTGAATGACAGTTTGTGCTACAATATTGCCATTCACAATTGATCTTGTGTGCGCGCTCTGCCAATCGCTTATTCCTTTGCACAATATTTTATGTTAATATTGTGTTCGGCCATATTGACGACATGATTGTGTGTGGAAATTGATAAAAGGCTTTTGCAAAAATAATTCCTGTGTTTCCAGTGTCATTTTTTTTATTAAATGTAGGGGGAATTAAGGGTGATATTGGGACATGAGGTCAAATTGGACAGTATTTAACTATACAGAGTGTATCTTCACACTAAACACTAAAAACTTGTGAGATCACATGATCAAAATGGGATGCCCTCATTGGTGTGACATCATGAAGTGAGGGAAATGACAAGCTTTTGCTAGTTTTAATAAGGTCTTAACTACTATTTTACAAAGATTTTACATGAATATAATGCACTCTACTGCAACAAAATCAGTAAAAAGTTGTTTTTGTTTTGTCCCACAGTTTGGGTGGATGGGACGGCATGATTTTATGTGATTTGGACCATGTTTAAAGGCTTAGCTTATTAAGAAAATGGTTAACCTTACAATAGTGAACCAATACGTAGCTTTGCATGCTCTAAAACCCCAACATTTTCATTCGTGCAAAACCTAAAGGACAACAAAAATGTTCATCAACTAGCTGGATTATGCTAAAATAAAACTACCCAATTCTGAAAATAGAATATATATATAGGGGAAGGGGTTTATTCATCCATCCAAAAGTTACAACAAAAATTGGGTCAGCTTATGTTATTTTTATTAATTTTGGACCTGAACTTTTCAATAACTGAGTTCAAGCTTCTTTTACCTCAATTACACGAGCTGTGCTGTATGAATTGGGATGAACTTACAAATATTCAGAAATAAAATTAAACAATGAACAAACAAAAAAAAGTCACATATATAGATATCAAAGTATGAACTAACTTGTGTAGTAAACATGTTTGCACTACTAGCCTAAATCAATAAGATGTGCTTACAATCTTCAAAAAGGCAGAGTTTACATTAAAAGTGTATGTCATGCATCCTTTCACTATAATATGAACTTGTTTATTGTTCAAATGGATAGGTAACTTTAACAGCTGGGATATTTCTAATTTATAAGCTGAAAACAAAAACAGTCTTCACATGTGTATAACTGTAATTTAGCATTGTGTTGCTTGCTTTTAAAAGAGCAACTTGGGGGGAAAACCAAGAGACTCCAGTTATAACAAGCGTTTACTGTTGCACCGTTGCTTGACCCGATGAGCCATGAAGGGGCTCCACGAGTTCAGATACAGTGCTCTGTACAAACATAAAATAAAGAAATCTCAGCAACAGAAAACAGCACACACAGGCAAAGACGTCCATTTTGTTTTATTATGCACAAACTCAAACACATACAGAATTTGGCATGCAGCCACAAACGTTTCTAATACCCTATAAAGTTATACAGATCAAAAAAACAAATGGAAAATTAGTTATTTAACTCAGATTTATCTAGAATTAAACACTTTGTCATTACAGAGATGTGGGACATAACGTTACAAACCTCAGCTTCATCCAATTCACCGTCTCGCCCTGTTTCAGAAGTAAAAGACAGCGTTAACATCAACTCCAGCTTGAAGACCAGAGACTCGAGCTGAAAAACCCATCAGTCTGGTCAGTTATTAGAGTTTAACATCACTGTTGATCAGTAGTCTAACGCATAATCATCATTCCAGGACATACAACTGAAGATTCATTCAGTGAACTCAGGCCTGGCCTTACCTAAAATCACTGGCTCCACTGCGAGTGCAAACAATCCTGTATGGGGACAAAACAAGTCATGAGTTATAGTATAATCATATAGACAAACACGACTAAATCTTGATTAAATAAAGGTAATTTCCATATGAATGAATGTATATCAGCCATGCTGCAAACACGTGCTCAGGCCAGTCGCACAAACACGGACTTCGGCTTACTTTTCGGCATCAAATTACACCAATAATGAAAAGTATTTGATGATTAGTTTGTAAGGCTAGTCTTTGGTAGTTTACTCACCTGGATGTGTCGACACACGAGCTCATTTGTTCATCGGAAACTAGTAAACTAGTTTTCTCACGGTCGAGTTTATATTTCTCTGGAGTTTTCGGAACTACGGAAGAAAAAATTAAGATAAAACAATTCATAGAATCTAAACATTTAGCTCAGCATTTCAGATCCAGTACAAAACACGCTGAGTTTAGCGTCTAACGACGACTCGCTTCTCCCGCTCTCTGCGTGTAATAAACGAACATCAGAGAGATGCTTTTCATGTGTGGAGATGCCAACCTCAATCATTGGCCAACGCGTAACGGTCGGCGGATCACGTGTTCCCTCATAACCAATCACATTCCAGTAAATACTCATCTGAATACCCTGAAACTATAAAGGTTTAAGATCCAAAGACTGTGTAGATTGTATATTTTTTCCATTCGAATGATGAATACTGTGGATTTCCTGGCTTGTTTCCGATTAAAAAAACAAAAACGCCACTGTTTGAGGACACTATATGAGACGACCAGTAAAATTATTCCTATCTGTCTGAAAATACATTTGTTTCCGGTCTAAACTCCAATAATGGATACATCCAAAATATTTATTGGCAACGTGTTGACGATTTAATTAATGTTGAATCATTAAAGTAGTTTTGGGCGCTTTCAAAGCAATGCTTCATGAAGCTTCGAAACCTTTAAGAATCGTTTGTGTCGAATCAGCGGTTCAGATCGCGAATCAAACTGCCAAAGTCACGTGATCTCAGTAAACTCCGTTATTTCAATGCTTCACCGCTGGAGGGCGACGATGATCTCTGAACACATGAATACTGTGGGTTTTACCTGATCTCTGGTCAGTTTTATACATTTGTTGACGTTTTAATTATACATTAGTATAATGAAAAGTAGTAGTCTAACAGTAGTAAGTTAGTAGTCTCTTATTGGCCTGTTTAGCTGAGCCATCCATGGAACAAACAAAACAACCCCTTAAAATTGATAAAGAACACGAACGAATGAGGACATTTTATTTCAGACATATCAAAAAATAAACAAAGCAAAACATCAGGAAAAAATTTACTGATAAGTTGAATAAGCAAAACTTTCAGTTAACATTAAGTAACATTTGGCAACATGTCTGAAAATACACTTATTTAATCCTACCCCATATCCATAACTTAGTCAATTATTATTATATTATTTCATTTACCACATAAATGTATATCTTATTTATATTTATCACATTTATCTTATACTCTACATACACACACATAATCATACACATATGTCAATGAACACACTGATTGTAATGCACTGACTTTTTATAGTCATGCGAACAGCTAGAACCTTGAATTTACTTATCCCTTAACAATTAAATAAGGTAAAACCAGTGAACAATACAGTATATTTATATTGTATTTATATACACTCTTTCAATTGTCACACTACTTATTTCCAAACAGCTTGATAATGGTTTTACTCAAATTTAATGATCATTTAGTACTGTCAAACCCTCTTTTTAACCTGCTCATTTCAGATGTGATTAACTCCAGAAGCTGCTGCAAATCCTCACCAGCACAAAACAATATCTGCGTCATCTGGAAATGAGACACATTTAAGAAATTCTGATGTTTTACACAAGGCGTTTATGTATGAAAAGAAGTGGCCCCAACACCGAGCCCTGGGGGACACCGCAAGTAATGTCCCAACAAGACGATCTTCACATAAACAACCCCCCCCCGAGACCATACCGGTCGAGTTTACTAACTCATCTATCATGATTCACTGTATCGAATGCTTTCTTGAGGTCAAGAAATATCCCAGCTGCATATTTGTTTTGGTCTAAGGCATTTGTGATTTCTTCGATTCGCTCAATAACCACTGAAGATGTAGATTGACTCTCATTTAGTATGTTGTGCTTATTGATGCATTTGTTTAGTTTTACCAACAAAGAGTTTTTCTAAGATTTTGGAAAATTGAGGAAGCAAGGAAACAGGCCTCTATAAATACAGATTCATACTTACATATTACACCTATTCTTGATATCTAATGGTATTAGATTTTAGATTTCTCAAATAATTGCATTTGATAGATTATACTTTCAATAAAACATTTGCAATGGGTTTGTAAAAGGTGTTTTCACGCATGGATGTTTGCTGCATTTGCACTGTTTGGCCAGCAGAGTGCGGCGCTTCGAAACAGTGAGTCGATTCAAATTGATTCGAAGCTTTGAAAAGATTCGTTTCTCCCATCAATAATGGCAGAGTTTCGACGCAAAAACAGTTTAATTAGCATTCTGAAGCCTCTCTTCCGTCGACATCCATTAAAACAAAACCCCCTAGTGTACCGCAGGTTGTTGTTTTTGTTGTTCAGTCAAATAAGTAAAGTGTAATGAAGTTAGGCTACTGATGAGAATTAGGACAAGTAAGAATAACAAAATAATAGCTGTTTTTGGGGACCACGGTATTCTTGGAAAGTCAAAGTCAGATTTATTGTCATGTCAGTCTGGGCAGTGGAGAAAAACAAACGTGGTTCAAAACACTAGTAATTAGAGACAACATTAAAAAGACGGGGAAAAAAGATGTATGCACAACAGTGGAGGAATGATGGAATAATGTCTAAACATACAAAAAAATTGGTGTATAACCTTTCTTTTACTGTCTATGTGTATAACAGCTGTTATGATGTGCGATTTATGAATAAAGTATCCAAACAATTACGTTATTTTAAAGTATTTACTTATTTATTTATCTTGAACAACATGACAAAAAGACCAGTCGAGAACAAATAGATAATGAATGATAAAAAGATTCATAATTAAAAAATAATAATTCTTCAAAAAGAGAGATTGTTTGCAAAAAAAAAGAGAACTATTACAGGTCATATTTTACTACCACCGTTTATTATTATTAATATAACTTGTATAATTTACTCTTATATCATTTGTATTTTTTTAACACACACATATATATATATATATATATATATATATATATATATATATATATATATATATATATATATATATATATATATATATATATATATATATATATATATATATACGCTAATAACAACAACAAAAAGTACAAATATGACTCCTCGTTTCCGGTCCAAGGTGAAGTGACGTCGTGTCGCAGCCACGCCCCCCACGCGTTTTGCGCATGCGCAGGAGCAGTAAGAGGAAGCGAGCTGATAAACGCATTGAACCCGTCTGTTCAGTAGTAACGTTACAATGACACATTGAACTATCGTAAACCGAGCCGATATCAGCCGTGTACTGTGCATGTGTGTATGATGGCGTGGGGAGTGTGTAGCAGGGCTCTGGTGTGGATTATAACTGCGCTCGTGTGCTGGAGTCTGATGGTGAGTGTGTAAACATCACTGTTTCACTGATCTCTGATCAGTTCAGGACTGTAGTCATTATTACTGGAGTCATGAGTCTAAACACTGCTGATCTGACCTGTGACCCTGTCTGCTCTTCTGCCTATTAGTTTGGGTGTCATTGAACAGTTATAAGGCTGGTCTTTGTTTGTCTGCTGTTTGATATGACTTTATTATGGACAATGAAGATATTTCTGATACGCAAAAGTAATGTATGCTGTGATCTGATATGAAACATCAGCTTTATATGATAGAGTAGATCCGATCAGTAGTGTCTAGAGAGAGTTATCTTCAGTTGTGTGTTGATTGTCCTGTAGGACACGAGTTTTCCTATCCTGGATCCTTCCTATCTTTCACTGTACTTTTCTGGACTGTATTATAATATCGTTTTTTATCAATGGATAAGAGTGCGTTTGTCTATGGTGTCACGAACAGGACCTGAGCCTATATAAGCTTTTCCACAACACACTTTTTTTAACTTACCTGAAAATCGACCGATAATCGGTTTTACCGATACTTGAGCATTTCCCATTATCGGGTATCGGTTTTGTGATTTCGGATTCACCGATAAAAGGCGTTTTCGGAATTGCGTGCAAGACCGCTGTTAAAGCACTGCGGTGTTCAAACGGTAAAATAACTTGCCTCTATTAATTAATAAACTTTATTTGACATAACAGCCGCTAATGCACAGATGAGATATCGGTTATCGGGCACATAAACATGATTGTATCGGTCATAAATAAATCAATATCGGTCGTTCTCTACTAAACATCACAGTAGATTTACAGAAGTTTGGTCACAGAATGGCAGTGAAGAACAATAAAAAGACAGAAAAAGGATGTATATGCACAATAATGCCTATACATACACACAATGAGATGTGTAACAGCTGTTATGATGTGCGAGTTATGAATAAAGTATCCAAACAGTTTCAATGAGAGGTTTGCAGACTCAGTCCCCAGCCGGCTCGAGTTAGCGTTCACTATTGTTGTGCCTGTGAGCAACATAATCCAGGAATATTCAATATAAACACATGTACATTAAGTATAACTATCCGTATGCTCACATATCCCGTTATTAACGTTTAGCCTATTTATTAAAATGCTTCATGTGATTTTTAACAGACCATGAAACAAATTTGAGTTGTGAAAATGACACGGACCTTTATACAGTAAAGACTGTAAGTCTATTGATTTCATCCATGTTATTTTCAGCATAACTTCTAGTTTAATTCTCCTGATGTTACTCCGATCGTGTGTGTGTGTGGACTTGTAGCTCACAGGAAGTGTGTGTGACTCATGAAGGATAGATGTTCATCTCTACTCATCACAGTCGTAGCATGTTATTGACGTTCAACACAGCATTAATTATCACTCTTTTGTGTGTCTGTTTTGCTGTCTAGAAAGAAATGTTGTCGTCTATTAGAACTGCAACTCTCAGCTATCGAATAATGTTGATTATCTGAGAAAAAACGTCTGCATTTTAACGTCTTTCCCCAAATATCCTCTTAAAATGTGCCGGTTGAAAGCTAAAGAAATGTGCATAAACACAAGTTTACATTCACTAATTGTGCAGACACTTTTATCTAATTGACTTTTAAATAAGAATAATTCATTGGAGAGAACAAAACTAATAACATCCTAAATTACCAGAGTAATTCTACAATAGAGCCGTTGTGCTGATAAGATAAATGTATGTTGTACATTTTATGCATTATACATTCTGTCAGCTTTTGTTATAGACTCAAATAATCTGCAATGACTATTATTTTTATTATGGATGCACCGATATGAAAGTTTAGGCCGATACCGATAATCGATAATTCTTTATATTTAAAAGCCGATAACCGATATATTGGCCGAAAAATCTAAATCCATATTTTGATATATCTTTTGAGAGCCTGATTACAAAAATTAACACAATTATAATGCTGTCTTTATTTTATGTAGCCGATATGACACATGTTGCACTTTATTGTATTTTCCTTTATTGAAGTGATTTCAATCATATTTCAAGCAATTCAAAACCATCATGTTGAACAGTGCGCATCTGAAGTGTCTCGGCTGAAATATATCGGCCAAATATTCTTATTGGGCCGAGAACGATCACATTAGAAATGAACATGTATATCGGCCGACACCGATATGGTTGAGCCTCGATTAGCAGGGCTATGTGTCAGTATTCTTTAATAAATGCACATGTTGCGATCTCTATTAAAATAGTGCGTGATATTTCCCTTTTCTGCTGTGCCGTGGAGAATGAGGATGTGGAAGACTAGTCACATGTTTTCTAAAGCCTCCTCCATCATCACTGCTGTGAACACACGAGGAAAACCTGACACGACTCCTTCATTTTAATGTTCACGACATGAGCGAGTGTGTGCAGTTCACTTGTGCTCTGCTAGCCTTTTAGGTTTGACTTGTGTTGTTTTCACACATTTTAGTTGTGACCAGCTCTATAGACCATGTGGATGTTTGCAGCAGTGATGATGATGATGATGATGATGATGTGTTGTATGGGCGGAGCCTAACCTGGTGACCTAATGCCCAACAATATTTAGCAAATGTATTGATGAAATAGCCTTCAATGAGAAGACGACACTGAGGATTAAAGCACATGTGTCCCGCTGAGTTTGGGTTGTCTTCATGTCATGCTAAAGTAACTCTGAGGAACTTTGCAGTGTGATGATGATGATTGTGTGTGTGTTTCAGCAGATGTTTTCTGTTCTCTCCTGAAACCAAGAGTGTGTGTTGCTGTGTTTCGATGGTGATCGGGTCCATCGAGGTCGTGAGAGATCTCACAGCTGTGCAATGTTTGCACTCGCTAACCGTCACATTCAAGACACTAAAACACATTATCAGCACGTGGTCCAGTAGAGTGTGTGTGTGTGTAATATATAGTCTCTTTGTTTAATGTAACCCACACTAGAGTCAGACTAGTTTCTCTAGGTGAACGGGTTGTGTGTTTGTTGTCTGCGTAGAGGTCAGGTTTAGCTCTCAGGCTTTGAGGGATCTCTGTATTTCTCTCCTCGTTCGAAACATTGTTTTTAAATGTACAAATACTGGGTGTAGGATTCAAGTTACACTTTTAAAAAGGGAAAGAGATTGTTGGTATTCACGGCGCTAGCAATGCCAAGGTCATGGACTTGATTCATGAACTGATAAAAATGTATACATTTCATCACAATGTCAGCGCGATGTAAGTCGCTTTTGGATAAAAGTTTCTGCTCAAATTAGAGCTGCACGATTCTGGGTAAATTGAGATTTTTTGTTTCAAATAGAGATCACAATTCTCCCACAAACTAAATAACAGGTTCTGACAAAATGTTAATTGCTGAAGTCAATTTGAGTTAATTATAAAAATAAATAAAAAAGTGCATGAAAGATTCATAACCCTCCCCTACTGCCAGTTTTTCACATCGCTGTAAATAAAAATACATAAACAATAATACTTAATGTAGGGATGTGCCAATATGAAAAATGTTGGCCGATACCGATAATCCTTTATATTTGAAAGCCGATTATAACCGATATATTGGCCGATAAATCTAAATCCATATTTTCATAAAATTTTAACCTGATTGCAAAACCAGTCTCATCATTAAAATCCATGTCCCAAACACATATTATTATGATGTTCTCATGATAATTTTATGTAGTCGATATGACAGACTGTTGCACTTTACTGTATTTTACTTTTTTGAAGTGATTTCAATCATATTTCAACCAATTCAAATCCATCATGTTGAACAGTGCGCATCTGAAGTGTCTCAGCTGAAGGAAACAACACATTATTTATCGGCTTTATGATATCTGAGAAATTTTCTTATCGGGCCGATAATATTAAAAATGATCAAATATCGGCCGATACCGATATGGTGGCCGATATATCGTGCATCCCCTAAAAATAACACGTAATTTGCTACAGGTTCTGACAAAATGTTAATGCCAGTTTTTCACATCGCAGTAAATTACAATACAAAATCAATAAATGTAATGAGTTTCATAGTAGTTTGATCATTTTTAATCTCTGATCAGTCCGATGTTCAGTATGTTTTCCACCAGATCATGTGTGTTTTAGGTTTGAGGCGGGTGAACACACAGAAGGAGTGGTCGACCGATATGTTGCATATCAGCATCAGTCGTTAATAGTCGTTATAATGATTTATAATCATTTCAAACTATTTTTCACTATAGCCAGTTTATAGCCATGTCATGTTCATGTGGTATTCACTTTACTGTATTTATAATTGGTGATATCTGGTCTATGAGAAACTGGGATTCCCAGTCTGCACAGATTCACCAGATTACTGTGGGTTCAAGTGTTTACTTCCCTTTTATTCATGCTTTTTATTTGTGAAAAAATATTATAATAGTATTACATAATCAAGAAGTTTCTATTTAAAGTTAAATTGTCCGGCCACACATGTTGTGAATCCGACAGGCTCTGACATAAAACGCTTTTAAATACATTTAATTACACATATTTGAGAAGTATTTCTACAATCTATCTACAGTGGCCAATTTGTTTTTAATGACTCTACAAGTTTAATTTATATTTTGTAAAATATCTTAAATATGAGAGAAGCACAAAACACTAAACTTGTTTTTCTGATTATATTATTTGGCACAAAAAAGGAAAACTACAGCTACAGGTTTTATTTTACTATGCAAAAACTCACAGAAAAAAACCACACATTGATTACAAAATAATGAGTTATTAATATCCCGTTGGTTCTCTCTTGTTTTTTTGCATGTGTTCATAACTCTTTGTATGACAGCCTGGCCAAAAATGATGTTTCAATGCATTCTCACCACCACAAATAAAACCATTGACGTCTTCAAGCACATCTGTGCAATATGCTTTACAATCTCCTACAGATGTTTGATCATGTGTGTGTGTGTGTGTGTGTGTGTGTGTGTGTGTGTGTGTGTGTGTGTGTGTGTGTGTGTGTGTGTGTGTGTGTGTGTGTGTGTGTGCAGGGCTCCTGCATCAGCAGCACGGTGTCTGTGCCCGAGAGTCTGCTCTTCGTGTCCACGCTGGACGGGAACCTTCACGCCGTCAGCAAGAGATCGGGAACCATCAAATGGACCCTGAAAGAAGGTACGCGTATGACCTGTCCGTTTTAAAGGTGCAGTCTGTAAGATTAATATCAATATAGGCAAAATATCACAGATCGTCATTTCAGCGCAATGGACAACGTGCAATATCACAGACCAAAGCAATAACACACACTCCAGCCTGGAAACACACATTCACAGTGAAATAACCGGCTGTTTTTCAGAGAGACCAGTATGTGATCTTAGCATGTTTCCTCAATATATGCAAACATATGGTATTTTTATGCTCTAGTAGAGTGTAAAGTTACACACAGCCGGTTTAAACGCGGGTCGATCATGAGTTCAGTTCACAGTGAAACTAGTGGAAATGAAACTGTTATCAGTGTGTCTCAACGCTTTTGACTGAAAGGCCTGCACAATAATATTGGAATATTGCACAATATTCGAGCTAAGGCCAAGATATGTCCTCTGGTGTAATTAAGGCAAAGCTTCATTTTTATATTAAGATTTCAGTGGGAGTTTCCCACTGAAAAACGGCTTATTCTGTTATTCTAAAAGTTTCAAGAACTGTATATGTCTTCTTTGCGTGTGAGAGTTCATTAGCATGCGGTGACAACGGCGGATGCACAAAGAAAGCACATTATAATAGTGGAAACTACTTAAAATCCTTCGTCATTTATGGTCACACAGATATGAGTAAGACGTCTTTCGAAACTGTAAAAGGTCTGTTTTTATTTGTGAACACTGACGAAACATTGTGCTTTTGTAACATCAAGAAAACAACCAGGATATGGTATATATCAGAATATAATACACACCAGTTTATTATACTTTTAAAGTATTATGGAAGGTCAAATCAAAGGTTTTCAGCGTCCAAGCGCATCGATTGATCATGCGCTGCGGGTTACAGGGTTAGTTCACGCTAAAGGGGAAATGTACTCGTGTCTTTCCAAACCCATAAGGCTTTTGTTCTCGTTCGAAGCGTAAATGAAGATTTTGTTGAGGGATTTCTGTCCCTCCATTGAAAGTCTCACGCAACCAAAACTATCACATATTAAAAAGACAGTGTAAAAGTAATCCATATGAATCAAGCAGTTTAATCCAAGTATTGTGAAGAGAGACACGATCACTTTAGATGATGAACAGGTTTAATGTAGGCTTTTGATCATGTATGTATATATAAACATTGATTGACAGTCACACATATAGAGCACATTAAATAAGTGAGGTTTATAAACCAGTGAGGTTTGTCACACAAACACACCTGAGCTTCCACAAAAACCAGTTAGGGTTTGTCTTTGCATGTCAAGCACGGTTGAGCATGTGTGTTTTACCACATGTAAAGGTCTATGTGTGTGTGCTGATCCAAATGAATAAATCATAAACTCAATCTGTTCGTCATAAATGGTTTCTCTTCAGAATACTTGAGTGAAGCATTTGATTCACATGGGTTACTTTTACCATCTCTTTTGTGGAAAAAATATTAAAAGAATTTCATTTTTTAGGCGAACTAACACTTTATTAACACTTTTAACTATTTTACACAACACTTCCAAATTATTTTATATAAGACCTCATATTAATTTAAAGACTAAATGGAATATTTGTACTTCAAAAAGTATTGTCGCATTACAGAACCATTTAGTGAAAGCAAGGTGTTTAAAAATGGTATTAAACAACTAAGAAATTCACTTTTCCATTTATATACCGTTTAACCTAAAATATATAAAAAAAGAAATAGTGCATTAATATAGAGTTCAGTTGATGTTTGTTGACGAGTGTGTGATACTCACTTATCATCCTATGAGAATTTAACAAACTTAAGCCGTCTTCACTTTGACTTGCTATTTGAATTGTTAAATCTGTGGAGTGGAAATATTAAAAGCATTAAGCAATTGTTTTTACTGCATTTATGACAATGTGTTCTGGTTTGTCCCAGCATGCAGCTGGAATGATAGCTGGTTTCCTTACGCAATAATATTGTTCAACTCTACGCACAAACTGTGTGTCATCATCAAGGCCAGGCACGTCTGTCCAGCTCAGCTCTCTCTGAAACGGCACATGAAGGTTTAATGTTGTTTATTAACACGCACGGAGTGGAATCTTCCATCACTTTCTCCATTGTTCAATATTCACATGCATTTCAATCCTCCGGCTGTCTCTCAGAAACCTGATGCTCAGGCTGAGCCAGTCCAACACGCTGGAGCTGCAGGACATGCGTTAGAGGCCGTTGCTCCACACACACACACACACACACACACACACACACACACACACACCCATAGTGTGCTGTCGGACCTGATACTCTGTGTTAAAGTGTGTTGTCATTGTGGTCCGGCTCTCACACGAGTGCTATAAGACAATTCGGGAACACTTTATTTTACAGTGTCCTTGTTACATGTGTTACATGCACTTACCGTAGTAATAACAGTAAATTATGCATAATTACATTAAATTAACCCTCAACCAAACCCTAATCCTACCCTAACCCTATAGTAAGTACATGTAGTTGTTTAATATTACTCAGTACTTAACAGTGTTGGGGAAAGTTACTTTGAAAAGTAATGCGTTACAATATTGCGTTACTCCCTTAAAAAGTAACTTATTGCGTTACTTAGTTACTTTTTTTAGAAAAGTAATGTGTTACGTTACTTTTGCGTTACTTTTTTTCCACCTGGGCTGGGCTTGTTTTTTTATACCAAAAAAGATATATTTTTGGGCAAATGTAAAGAACAATTTGGGCCGCTCAAACAAACCTTTCAGCTGCTGCTGTTCTGGGTAACAGAAGAAGAGGATGCAGGAGAAACAAATTTAACACTTACTTTACCAATAAAAACATATAAAAAAATCTATAGTCATTTTTGCTTATGGTTTAACTGAAAAATCGGAGGTCAGAGGCAAGTATTTTGGTCAATAAAGATTAAATGCATAACATTTTGTTTTATTTAACATATTTAGGTATTGGAGGTTTGCATACTGTTCTGATTCTGCATTTCACTGATTTTATTCATTTTGAGGAATATTGAATCTTTTTGTGCAAGTGAGATGAGTAAATCCACGCTTACATTTAATCTAGAACTATAATAACCATCATGTTTACACACAACGCCTCTGCACTTCGATTTGTCTCAACATTAGGACAGAAGAGCAGTGAATCAATAAAGGGGAAAACAAAGTAACTTGCGTTACTTATTAGAAAAAGTAACTCAGATATTTTGTTGTAAATTTTAAAAGTAATGCGTTACTTTACTAGTTACTTGAAAAAGTAATCTGATTACGTAACTCTAGTTACTTGTAATGAGTTACCCCCAACACTGGTACTTAAATATATAATTACACTGTAACTACGTCACCTTAAAATAAAGTGTAACCGACACTATAGCCAACACACAGGAATCAGACATTCAAGACCTTGATCTTCTTACTAAAGGTAGACACTGGGAGTGCTAATGGATTAATTTATGTGAATGTATTTTATCTGTTAAGTTTGACGCCCAGCGCTTCATGTTTGCTCATCCCTTCATTTGCCTGTGATAGAGTTTATAACGCTTAACTGAAATGTCTCTCATTCCCAATGCAGATCCTGTTTTGCAAGTCCCGACGCACGTGTCAGAGTAAGCTTTCTTTCGTTTATACCTGAGCGGCTGTGCATGTGGAAAGTCAAACGACAGGAACTGTGCAAAATGCTGAGCACGACTCTTCCTCTCCATGATAACATCTCACTGAAGCTCATGATGAAATGCTGCTGTGTTTTTACACAGTTCTTGTCCATACAATGACCGTTTATAGTGACCAAATTTAGTCTGACACTAAAATGAGCTTAAGACAGAATTAGGGATGCCCGATATATCGGTATCGGCCGATATACGCTGATTTCTAATGTTATCGATATCGGCCCGATATTAGCATTTGGATCTATTAAAGATGATAAATAATGGATTACTGAGACACTTTAGAAGCGCACTGTTCAACATGATGGATTTGAATTGCTTGAAATATGATTGAAAGGAAAATACAGTAAAGTGCAACATATCTGTAATATCGGCTACATACAATAATAATGAGAACATCACTATAATTGTGTGTTTGGGACATGGATTTTAATGGTGAGACTTTTGTTCTTGTAATCAGGCTCTCAAAAACTATATTTGGATTTATCAGCCAATATATATCGGTTATCGGCTTTCAAATAAAGAATTATCGGTTATCGGTAACGGCCAAAATTTGAATATCGGTGCATCCCTATAGAGAATGTATCGTCAATAACATCAGTCATACAAATCATTTGTTCATGCATTATAACTAGTGGATTATAACTAGTTTTTTTATGATGTGAAAAGTGTGTGTTGTTGTTTCACAGGCCTGCTTTTCTCCCGGACCCCAACGATGGCAGTCTGTACTCTCTCGGAGGGAAGAACAACGAGGGTCTGACGGTGAGACGCAACTTCTTTCCGTTTCTCTTGAAGGACTTCCTCTTTCTCTGGAAGCAAATGCTGATATTTATAGTTTTAGAAATGAGCAATATCATTTTAAAAGGGAAACATCTGAGGTCAGTAGCACCCACACTAAATGATTAGACTGCTTTTGCTGGAAGAAAAAGTTGCTGGATGGATTAACACATGCACATGTATATGTAATGTGTGTGTGTGTGTGTGTGTGTGTGTTGCAGAAACTGCCGTTCACCATTCCTGAGCTGGTCCAGGCATCGCCCTGCCGCAGTTCTGATGGCATCTTATACATGGGTGAGAGACTGCTTCTCTTACTCTTATTCTGACCCTCAGTTCAGTTTGAGTTTGTCACTGGTATTTCCTAAGTCAAGCATTGCTATTACTATAGCTTGTAGTTAGGACTAGAGATATTAATCACTAGATATTAAAGTCGCCCTGTGGTGAAAATCCAGTTGTTTATGTGTCTATGTGGTGTTTTTAATATGCTTTAAGACAAGCCATGTGTAAATTCATAAGTATTTAAGGAGTATTTTCTCCTTAAAGGAGCAGTTCACTTCAGAATTTAAATGTCCTGATCATTTACTCTCCCCCACGCCATCCAAGATGTTCATGTGTTTCTTTCTTCAGTGGAAAAGAAATTACGTTTTTTGAGAAAAAATATTCCAGGATGTTTCTCCATATAGTGACTTTAATGGGGTCCAACAGGTTGAAGGTCCAAATTGCAGTTTCAAAGACTGAGTCAAACGCCATTTACAAAAAAAACACAAAAAATAACAAGGTAAAACAACGATGTCGGACGATTTTGAAGTTGGAAGAGAAAATGAGATGGAGATTTTCACCCTACATTTTGAAACCGGAACACGCGTGACTTTTCAACCTGATTACCTGATGCGTGAAGTTGTGGACATGCAAGACGAGCATTTGTGGTTTAAAAGTATATAAATGTTTATTTTTGTTATAAAATGGCGGATGGTTTGTCTAGATCAGACTCTTATTCCTCGGCTGGATCGTGTCGAGACTTTGAAGCTGCACTGAAACTCACATTTGGACCTTCGACCCGTTGGACCCCAGTGAAGTCACTATATGGAGAAACATCCTGGAACGCTTTCCTCAAAAACCTTCATTTCTGTTCGACTGAAGAAAGAAAGACATGAATATCTTGGATGACGTGGGGGAGAGTAAATGATCAGGAAATGTTAATTCTGAAGTGAACTACCTTAAAACTGCAGTGAACCAAAGACAGTCTCAAAAACACGGTTTGAAATCGCTGGTGTTTCTGACGTCACAAACGACCTTGTAACCAATCAGATCAACGTGTGATCGTCAACCAGTGGGTCTCTGAGCTGAGTGAGTGAGTGGAGGCGGGGCTCATTTGCATATTCATAAAACTATAGACACTAAATGAGGCAAGGGGGTCGAGTAACATTCAAGATATTTTAAGCCATTTTTTCAAGGATAAAACGTTTGAATGTGTCATTTCGGCGATCAAAGATGAGTTTTAAGCGATAAAATGATTGACTACAGGGGGACTTTAAGCGTTGATTCGACATGATCATGATTCGTTTGAGGAACTGGCCTCTCCAAACGGCCTCACTGTGGGTGGGCACTGTGGGATTGCTTCATAATCTCACCGCAAACACCACAATAAGATGTGTGTCTGTGCCACCCTTCCTAAACCACCAAGAGTGCGTAATCACAAGGCACAGATAATGAATGACACTCCCAGCCCAAAGACAGAAAGCCAAACGGTGATTAAATCAGACAGTTAAATCATCTCTTAATCCTGTTACTTGTTAATCTCTCCTAATTACACTTCAAACATTGGCGTGGACGTCGTCGCACATGTTGAATATCACAGGAAACAGCCCTGTTTGACTCAAACCACACTTCTTCTTCCCAGAGATAAACATGTGGTGTGTTTGATCTGACGTGCTGATGTGTGTTTACACATCCTGACCAGAACATTTACCCATGCTGCACCAGTTATCTTTGGACTTTTGATCTTTAAGATGATAAAAGGGCTAAATGAAATGGGGGGAAAGAACGAGCACATGGGAAAAGCATGCGCTGAATATGTAAATGATCTGTCCATTTTATTCAGTATTTCTTGTGTATTAGTTTGTTTTAGTTATTTTCTTGTCTTTGTTGATTATTGGTGCAAAATTATTAACTTTCCCCTTTCGGACGATCTGTGACATGCTGTTGATTTACATAAACGATAATAATCAAGACATGCACCGGAATAAACGTTATCAAAGGGTGTTGTACATGTTAGCATGAGGCTAGTGTGCAAGAAAGACAATGCTGTGTGTAATGAGGTATTATATGCTTTTACAAACACACAAGCTTCACATTTATTTTAAAGTCCAGCTGTGGTGAAAATCCAGATTTTAATGTTATTTATTATGTCTATGTGGTGTTTTTAATATGCTTTAAGACAAGCCATGTGTGAATTCATAAGTCGACAGCATTGCTGAATATTTTCTGCTTAAAACTGCAGTGAACCAAAGACAGTCTCAAACACACGGTTTGAAATCGCTGGTGTTTCTGACGTCACACACGACCTTGTAACCAATCAGATCAACGTGCCGGCGGGATCATGGTTTGTGTAGCATTAGCAACACATTATTAGCTGTTTGATAACATAGTCATGCAAAAGGCTAATCATATTAATTACCGTTATGTGTCCGACGTTGTAGAGAGCGATACAAAATGCATAAATTCTGAGACTATAATTCACTTTTCCTTTTCTTCTGAACCAGTTTATGGTTTAAACATATTTTTTTTAAATAAAGCAATATTTCCACTTGCCAGTGTTTACTACAGTAAAGTTGAGCAAGTGGGTCTCTGAGCTGAGTGAGTGGAGGCGGGGCTCATTTGCATATCCATAGAACCACGCATACTAAATGAGGCAAGGGTGTCGAGTTACATTCAAGATATTTTAAGGCATGAAGAATTTATTTTCACAGGGGGAAAAAATAATAATGTCATTTTGATTATCAAAGATGAGTTTTACACACAATTTTAGTTTTTTGCAAACAGGATGTGGTCTGGTTGAATGACAGATGCTGCACATACAGCTGATCTGGAATTGAATTTGAAACTTTAATAACTGTATGAAGTACGTGAAGGTTTGATCATGAGATGTGTGTGTGTGTGTGTGTAGGTAAGAAGCAGGACGTGTGGTATGTGGTGGATCTGCTGACCGGTGAGAAGCAGCAAACGCTGACCTCCTCCTATGCTGAGATGTTCTGTCCATCTTCATCTCTGCTGTACCTCGGACGCACAGGTGAGACCTGTACCTGTACCATGTTTTAATTTAGTTTATCACTGACGTGCTAATTTATTTGTACAGACGTCCACATGAGAAACAATTACGGTCCGAATAGGGCTTAGGTATCAGTCTTGTGCTTTGCTGATCCACTGATTGTGTTGTTCCTCAGAATACACAATCACGATGTACGACACCAAGAGCCGAGAGCTTCGCTGGAACGCCACGTACTCCGACTACGCCTACACCCTTCCAGACGACGACACCAAATACAGTGAGGATCCGTCAGTGGCGAGTTTGGAAACCCGTTCAGATCTCTTCCACACAACAGTGTTTGTCCTGTGTTCCTCCAGATATGGCCCACTTCGTGTCCAACGGGGACGGGCTGGTGGTGACGGTGGACAGCGAGTCCGGGGACGTGCAGTGGGTGCAGAACTATAACTCTCCTGTGGTGGCCATCTACATCTGGCAGCGCGAGGGCCTTCGCAAGGTCACACACACCAACGTGGCGGTCGAAACCCTGCGCTACCTCACGTTCATGTCAGGAGAGGTGGGCCGCATCACACAGTGGACGTATCCGTTCCCCCGCGAGAAGAAAACCAAAGATAAACTGCTGTAAGATGAGACCAAGTACTGTTTTTATAGCTCTGTATACACTGTTATTTTTTATTTTTATTTGCTTCATTTCCACAAAAATATTTGGAAACACTTTATTTTACAGTGTCCTTATTACACATGTTACATGTACTTACCGTAGTAATAACAGTAAATTATGCATAATTACATGCAACTAACCCTCAACCAAACCCTAACCCTATAGTAAGTACATGTAGTTGCTTAATATTACTCAGTACTTAAATATATAATTACACTGTAATAATGACACCTTAAAATAAAGTGTAACCAAATATTTTTAACCGGTAAAATTTTATTTAACAGTGTCCATTATACATATGTTACATGCACTTACCAATAACAGTAAATTATGCATAATTACATGCAACTAACCCTCAACCAAACCCTAATCCTACCCTAACCCTATTATTAATTAATATTACTCAGTACTTAAATATATAATTACACTGTAACAACGACACCTTAAATGAATGGGTCCCACTTTATATTAAGTGGCTTTAAGTACTTATGTACTTACAATGAAATTAATAATTTGATACAGTAGACTTATTGTGTACATACATGTTTTTACATTGTACTTAAATTTTAAAAATACCTGCATGTAATTTCAGCTGTATGCAATTACATTTGTAATTACACAGTTGACCCTTAACCCACCCTTATACCGACCCACACCACACACACCTGACCCAAACCTCACCCGTATCACACCTCAATAGCAGCAATGTGTTTTACAATACAACATCAACACGATAAGTACATAGTACTTAAAGCCACTTAATATAAAGTGGGGCCAAATAAGGTCTAACCAAATAGTTTTAACCTCATCAACAGTGTTGGTCATCATGTCATGCAACCTCTCGATTTTCTTTCATGTTTACTTGCCAAAGCCACGTTTTACTCTAATTTGGCTCTTGCTGAGCTGACATGATTTGACTTGTTGCATCTCCAGTATCTAAGCCACATCCTGTCTGTCTTTCGAGAAGTGTGGGGAACAACTGATTCTGGAAATCGTAGTATGAACTATGAAGTAGTAATACACAAATCACAAAATGTGTTATTCATAACATTTTAAGAATGCTCTTGTTACACAATTTGTTGGAGTAAGAGGTCTACACTCACACTTGTTTTATTTAGTTATTTATTTTATCAGATTAGCATCAGTATTAGCAGAGACTCAAGCTTGCATTATCTGTATCTGACATGAAAAAATGCTATCAAAAAGCAGATCACTATATATATATATATATATATATATATACACTGTATGGAAATACAAATATTTGGAAAGGTACTTTATGTTATACACCTGTGGCAGTAGGTCTGATCGAAACACCTGAATTACATAATTAAAGTCCCCCTGTAGTCAATAATTGTATCCCTTAAAACTCATCTTTGATCACCAAAATTACATATTTCAACCTTTTTTCCTTGAAAAAAATGTGTCACGCCTTAATGTATCTTGAATGTAACTCGACACCCTTGCCTCATCTACTATGCGCGGTGCTAAGAATATGCGAATGAGCCCCGCCTCCACTCACTCACTCAGCTCAGAGATCCACTGGTTGACGATCACACGCTGATCTGATTGGTTACAAGGTCGTGTGTGACGTCAGAAACACCAGCGATTTCAAACCGTGTGTTTGAGACTGTCTTTGGTTCACTGCAGTTTTAGGCAGAAAATACTCAGCAATGCTGTCGACTTATGATTTACACATGGTTTGTCTTAAAGCACATTAAAAACACCACATAGACATATAAACAACACTAAAAGCTGGATTTTCACCACTGTTCACTTTAATAGGTGCGTCTCAATACTTCTGTCCATATAGTGCATATTACAGTACTGGAGTAAGCTCAAACTTCACTCTTTGCTATATAGATCTCTTTCAGTGTTGTTGTCTTCATCCTAAAGACTTTCAGTATGCACTATTATCGCCTGGATAAATAAAGATTGTATTGTATAACACCTAGCAGTTCCTTGGTAAGCTATTTACAGGCAAAGTATGTGCCTTTGGAGAACAAGCTGTGAATAATGTGCTGTTTTTGGCTGGTGTTCTGACAGGTCCACGTTATACGTGGGGAAACACTCCACTGGTCTGTACGCGTCCCCCTCACTGGTGCATGATGGAGTTACTGTTGTGGTGAGTAGCTTTAAAAACCTCAAATATGAGTTTCCTCATACGTTTATAGGACTACATGCTTAGATTGATTTTAGAATATATATATATATATATAGAGAGAGATGAAATACATATTTTTTTGTCTTCAATGAAGTTGTCTATAGTTGAACACCTGCAAGACTATAATAGCATTGCCCTTTGGTTTCTAAATACAGGTCAACATTGTGACTCTTATTTCTTTCTATTATTTATTAAATGAATTATAATGCAATTATAAAATGCCATTTCAATTACTTGATTTTTAAATTTTTTGTTAATTAATTTTCATATATATGTTTGGGCATAAAGTGAAAACAGTCAGTGACAACTATTGATCTGACTACAAAGACTACAAGACAATTGCTTGATTTTTTTATATATGATGAGTATGTTTTAATTTTTTGTTAATACATGAATACAAAGAACATGATTTCTAAGAACATGAGTTTTAAAGCAGATTTTTCTTTTTCTTAATCATAGACTACTTCATTATCCCATATATCATTTTCAGAGCGTTAAGCAATGGGAATGTCGGAAATAAAGTAGGACTTTGGAAAAATATTTACAGTGAGTGCTGCAGTAATAGTTGTTTTTTGTTTGTTTGTTTGTAAATACAGATTTTGACATTTTTATTTAGGTCTGAAAAGTCCCTAGTGCTGTTCTTCTAGTGCATGCATGCTCATAACGTGTGTGTGTGTGTGTATTTCAGCCCCGTGGCAGGACGTTTCCCATGCTGGAGGGTCCCAGTAACCAGGACTCGAGTGTGGAAGATGACCAGGAGTGTGTGATCACTCCCAGCACAACAGTGAAGTTCAGCGCCGCGCTGAGAGAGAGGAACCGCATCAACTTCATGAGGAACTCTCTGCTGCTGATAGGTACACACTCCAGCAGAGGCGTGTGTGTGTGTGTGTGTGTGTCCATCACACCCTCTAGTGGAGACGCTGTGCTTGTGTTGAACAAACTTTACAGTAAAAAAAAAGACAATGCATCTTCATGCCGTAGAGAAAAGTGCCAATAAATAATCGCATCCAAAATAACAGTGTTTACATAATATATATGTGTGTGTTGTGTATAATTATGTTGTATATATAAATACACACACATGCATTTATACATTTAAGAAAAATGTGTTATTTATATATAAAATATTTATATATAATATAAATTATATATAAATAAATATACAGTATATACATGCAAATATTTCTTAAATATAGACATGCATATGTGTGTATTTATATAGACAACATACACACATATATTATGTAAACACAAACTTGCAATTAATCGTTGCCCAGCACTACTAAAAGCCTGCAATTTGTGATTTGTAAATATTTTCTGATTGTTAATAAGTATCTTCCCGAGGAATGGTGTGTGTGTGCTCAACAGCAGTGTGTTTCTCTCCACAGGTCACCACGAGACGCCACCTGACGCTCATAACAAGATCCTGGAGAAGTTTCCGGAGAACATCCCTCGCCAGCACGTCAACATCATCCCTCCGGCCACAGAGAAGACCATGGAAGAGGTACAGCGAGAACCACACCACACTGGCTTTGGCACGGCACACGTGTAATACACCCGTGGAGACAATGTCTGATCACTAGATACGTGACTTTCACAATGTAGTTTTAGGAGCCCTTTAGATCACCTTATTATTATTATTATTAGTCAAATATGTGTGATGGGTGTAATAAAAAAGGATGTGTGGTAGCATGTGACTACCTGTAAATCTGTTATTCTAAGAGGCAGATGTTTTCAAGTTTCACATTTCCACACATGAGAACAAGGAGAGCCTCATGTCATGGCTGCATCGTTTCCTTAACTCGTATCCTTAAACGGTATTTGAAATGTTATAGGCCCAAATGCACTGTGTCGTCTCTCGATGATGAGTGGGGTGTTTGGCGATGATGTTTGTATATGTTACTGGGGGAAAATATGATTATGATTGATTAAGTGGAAATAAAATAAATGAGTGGTTACTTGAAAATGGTTTAGGGTTCTCTAAAGCCTGCATGTAGCGACTCCTGTCTACGCTGGTCCTTGCATCATGACCTGCAACTGTTCTTTGATATTCTTGGATAGTAAAATGACTTTCATCCCTCATCTAAAGCATAAAGCATCCAGTGCATTTAATTACTACATAATAGACGTAGTAGAAAAAGCAAATGCAGTGCAAATTGCTGGTCCATTCCTGACTAGAGTATGCAGTTAATATAAAGCAAAATCAAGCTTACAAACCCATATTCTCCCCACATTCAGACCCAGCAATATAAGATGCTTTGGAATACGCATCAGATGTCATCTAAAAATTGTCAGAATAACAAATTACGGTATTTTAAATAAACCATGTGGTGGTAAAATATGCATCTACCCTTTCAAATCTAGACATGTTGTACACAAGGTATCGTGTCGCTGTCCCAGACTGACCATTTAATTGAAAGATAAAGAATCACCGAAATGTCAAAACTGTATCACTCCTTAGCTCTATTCGGACGGTCATTGTTTCTCATGGGGTCGTAAGGCAGTTTCAACATTTACAGGGTTATTCTGTGATTTTATTGGCGTTTGAATCCAGAATGTCAGTGTTTTTCTCCCTCCACCCGTGTAATAATCCCCGACCGAATTACCTTCTGTTTTCTGACAAACACCAAGATCGTGTGATGATTTAATTACCGTCCGAATCCACATCTCTGAGTTTACAAGAAGAGATCACTTCAAAATGCACTGTTTAAATACTTTTTGTTCACTGCCGAGCACTGTAACGATGTACACTTTTATGAAATCTTGGGAAGTAACGAGAACAATATGTGGCTGTGGTTGAAATCAGCTGTAGTTCTTGTGTTCCTCTTTCCTTCAGTGATTTTGCTTGTTAACAGCAGGTGTTCATCACTAATGCTCAATCATCAAATGTATTTTTACAGACGTCCACATGAGAAACAATTACCGTATGAATAGGGCTCTTGACTACAAAACATAAAACATGCAAGATTGCCCAGAAAAAACGTATCTAAACAAACAAAATAATCTTGTTTATTTGTACAGATGTTGTACAGATATGTTTGATTTTACTGAATGCTCGATTATTACCTGTATCTGCCATGGAATAGCCTTTGTAACTGATGTGTCAATGCTAAAATGTGTTTCAGAAAGTGAATGAGAGCGGGATGGAGGACAACAGTCCGCTGCCTCCGCCGGTGTCAGCCCTGCAGGAGAAGCCCGGCCGTGTCCCGCGCGCGGAGACGCCAGTGGACTCCATGCTGAAGGACATGGCCACCATCATCTTCTGCACCTTCCTCCTGGCCGGCTGGGTGGCCTTCATCATCACCTATCCCAAGGTAAGCACACCCCCGAGAAGAGCGGACCATTGGAGAGTTACTCAGTCCGTCAGTGAGATGATTTAAGCATTTTCAGATAAGCAACTTTTGGAAAACGCTTGAAACAGGGACAGGGAGCGCTTTTAAAAATTAAAATGGCGGGGTTTTTATGTATCCGGATGAATGTAGACGATATATCGGCCACCATATCGGTATCGGCCAATATATGTTTTTAATGTTAACATTAAATAAACATTAAACATTTTTAATGTTATCGTTATCAGCCCGATAAGAACATTTGTCTGATATCTATAAAATAAGCCGATAAATAATGTGTTATTTCCTTCAGCTGAGACGCTTCAGATGCGCACTGTTCAACATGATGGTTTTGAATTGCTTGAAATATGATTGCAATCACCTCAATAAAGGAAAATATAGGCTAGTTAAGTCTGTAATATCGGTAACATAAGATTATCATGAGAACATCATAATAATTGTGTGTTTGGGACATGGATTTTAATGGTGAGACTTTTTTTTTTTTGTAATCAGGCTCTCAAAAATTATTTTTAAAAAATTGGATTTAGATTTATCGGCCAATATATCGGTTATCGGCTTTAAAATATAAATAATTATCGGTTATCGGCCAAAATGTTCATATTGGTGCATCCATAATGTAGCCGTAGGTCTGACAGTATTGTGTTGTGTCGTCCTCTGATGACACTGTTGTGTTGTGTCTCTGATGAGTGTGTTGTGTTGTGTCGTCCTCTGATGACACTGTTGTGTTGTGTTGTTGTGTTGTGTGGTCCTCTGATGAGTGTGTGTGTGTGTTCAGAATGTGCAGAAGCAGCAGCAGCTCCAGCACCAGCAGTTCCAGGCTCAGATGGAGGAGAAGCTGGAGTTGCTTCAGCGGCAGCATCTGGTGTTCCAGCCGCCCGCAGACTCAGAGTTCCTGGAGCCGGGCCGTCCACGGTGCGAGAGCTCGTCCCACAGCAGCCCCAACGTCACCCCGCGCGCCTCCAACCACTCCAGCGCCTCGCAGCCCGAGGCGGGACACTCCGCCAGCGAGCACGACGACCCCGGTCAGCACACACACACACACACACACTACCCGTCGAGTTCGGGATCGGGAACCTCCTTCTGAAAGAGTCTCTTCCAAGGCTGCATGTATTTGATTAAAAATACAAAAACTGTAGTATTGTGAAATATTATTACAGTTTAAAATAATAGTTTTCTATGTGAATATACTTTAAAGTGTAATTATTCCTGTGATCAAAGCTGAATTTTCCTCATCATTACTCCAGTCTTCAGTGTCACATGATCCTTCAGAAATCACTCTAATATGATGATCTGATGCTCAAGAAACATTTCTCATTATTATTAATGTTGAAAACAGTTATTCACATTTTTTTTTCAGGATTCTTTGATGAATAGAAAGCTCAAAAGAACAGCATTTATCTGAAATATAACCATTTGTAACATTATAAATGTCTTTACTGTAACTTTTGATCAGTTTAATTCATCCTTGATGAATAAAAGTATTAATTTCTTTAATTTCTTTCCCCCAAAAAATAAAATAAAAATTCTTACTGACCCCAAACTTTTAAACGTTAGTGTTTAATGTTACAAAAGCTTCTATTTCAGATAAATGCTGTTCTTTTGAACTTTCTATTCATCAAAGAATCCTGAAATAAAAATGTAAATAACTGTTTTCAACATTGATAATAATAATAATTAATGTTAATGAGCATCAAATCATCATATTAGAGTGAATTCTGAAGGATCGTGTGACACTGAAGACTGGAGTAATATTCAGCTTTGATCACAGGAATAAATTACATTTTAAAATATATTAAAATAGAAAACAATAATTTTAAATTGTCATAATATTTAACAATAGTACTGTTTATTTTTTATTTTTTTTAATAAATGCAGCCTTTTAAGAGACTTTTAAAAGCATTAAAAATCTTCCCGATCCGAAGCGTTGGCACAGCAGTGTCCATAACCATTTACTCTCGCTTGCCTGATGTGTGTCCATCAACTATTGGTTGACTTTGTTATTGTTTTATTTATGTCTTCCTCCAGAGGAAGAGTCCAGCATGGTGCGCATCGGGAACATCAGGTTCAGCCCCAGAGATGTGCTTGGACACGGCGCTGAGGGGACTATCGTGTACAGGCAAGACTCCTGTAGACAGCATTTTAATGTGACTATAAGGCAGTCAAGCGTGAGGCGACTGCAGGAGTGTGTATCAGTGTACTGGACCCGTGCGGCTCTTAAAGGGACAGCGCTGATATTCCTGATGCGTCTCTATAATAACACTGATCACACAACAAAACACACAGAGAAATCACTCGTTCTTGACTGAATATTTGTAATGTATATTTTATTTATAAAGTTGTTATTTTATATTTGATTACAGTTTCTGTGCCTGAATACCTGAAAATCTTAAAACGCTGTTTATTTCAGTCGAGTCTGTGTCCAGTTGTGTCTATTGTTGCGATTGCTAATTTTTCATTCTTTCTTCTATAATTACTGGCTGTTTACTTGTGTTTAATAATGCTTGACGTGTACATTACTTGGGCTAGTTGTTCTTCTATGGTGTTTTTAGAACACAGGCAAATGCTCCTTGTGTAATGTCATGTTTAGCCTGTTGATTTCTCTTCGAGATATTCAGCTTTGCAATAAGACTAAATGTGGATGATATCCAAGTTTTTGGGCGGGTTTTCGCCTTGGAATCAAAATTAGGAATCGATAAGAATGGAAATCGTTAAAATGAAACCGACACCCAACCCTAGGTTTGTAGTCTTTGGTGTGCTGTCACTGCTTCAGGTTGTGAGCCTGTGTCTTCCCTCTGTGTGCTTTCAGGGGTCAGTTTGACAACCGTCCCGTGGCTGTGAAGAGGATTCTCCCAGAATGCTTCAGTTTTGCTGATCGAGAGGTTCAGCTCCTGCGGGAGTCGGACGAGCACCCGAACGTGATCCGCTACTTCTGCACCGAGAGAGACCGCCAGTTCCAGTACATCGCCATAGAGCTGTGCAGACACACACTGCAGGAGGTGACGCACACACACACTCACTCACTCACACACACACACACACACACACCGCTACTTCTGCACCGAGAGAGACCGCCAGTTCCAGCACATCGCCATAGAGCTGTGCAGACACACACTGCAGGAGGTGACACACACACACACACACACGCAACCTGATTCTGACACACAACCTGACGCTTCACTGCTGTTTCTGACACACACACACACACACGCACACACACACATATATATATATATACCATATGTAAGTAAAAGAAGTGTCTTTCAAAATAATAAATACATTTTACCCTGTTAAATATTTGATGGTTAAATATCAAATTAATATTAACACAAGATGCTCATTTTGCCAAGTTCACACAGAAACTGTTAATCATTTATTTCGGTCATGTTTCTACACTGAACAACTGTAGGAACATATTGACACATTTATTAAGAGAATATCCAGCAAGATTTATCCGTAACCTTTAAACACATTATTTTTGGGAGACTTTTATTTTGACGGCACTAAAAACTAAGTTTGCTTTGTGATAAATTAAAAAAATATTTCTTGGCAAATTTTAAATACATAAATGTAAATTCACCAACAACAAACCATTTTTTAAAGAATTTAAAATGTATCGTAACACCATTTCTTCCTCACTAAATAAGAAAGCAATTAAAACAACCTCAATGTTATGTATAAAATAATATCTTAGGGCCGTAACATAGTCAACGCGAGCTACACGCTCCTTTTCATAGTACACAAGCAGACGCAAGCGTCACCGGCGATGCGTGAAATGCAATACACCGATCGCGCAACAGGTGGTAGTAGAGTCTAGAGTCGGGTCAGGTGATATTCAGATCAAAATGGCAACTGAAGAGGAGTGCATATTGCTGATTTTACATCGGCGGCAACAAAACAAGCTCACATAACTTTTCCTCTTCGCCCGCCATTGTATTCAAATCTTCTTCTTCTGTAAACATAATAATATACCTTTTTATGTACATTACTTGCAATGTCGCCCCCACCGACAACGCATAGTATAGCATAGTAAAAACTAGGATGACACATTTGGCTAAGAAACGACGCATAATGGCGGCCGAAGCGTAGCGATGTGTAGCCTTGCGCACGCGTATGCGTACCGATGCGTTGACTATGTAATGGCCCTTACCCTCGTGGTCTTTTGTTATTTAATTTATTTTTCCTTTTTTATTTTTATTTTTTAGGCAAATCATTGTTACTTTTTTTTCTTGTCCTGTATGTTCAGATGACATTGATCATATTATTGTTGATATATTTTGTGTATTGTATATAAAATTGTATATCATTAATGTCATCTGTGTACAGTTTGAAAGCATATTAAAATAAATAATAATTATAAATAAAACAATTTTTATATATATATAAATGTGACTATATCAGAGCCTTAAATCTTGCCTAAAATCCTCAGTTTAATTTCTGTTTTCAAGTCATGCAATGCAATATATTGCTGTTTATTTTTAAATAATTGCTTATTTGTTCATTTTTTTACTTATTTTGTTTTATTCAGTACGTGGAGCGCAAGGATTTTGACCGGCACGGATTGGAGCCAGTGACGCTGCTAGAGCAAACCATGTCTGGACTGTCTCATCTACATTCCCTTAATATAGGTAACATCATCTGTGACATCACTGATACATGTTTAAACGAGGAGTTCACTTCATTTACTCTCCCCCACGTCATCCAAGATGTTCATGTCTTTCTTTCTTCAGTGGAAAAGAAATGAAGGTTTTTGAGGAAAACGTTCCAGGATGTTTCTCCAAATAGTGACTTCAATGGGGTCCAACGGGTCGAAGGTCCAAATGTGAGTTTCAGTGCAGCTTCAAAGTCTCGACACGATCCCAGCCGAGGAATAAGAGTCTGATCTAGACAATCCATCCGCCATTTTATAAAAAATAAACATTTATATACTTTTACACCAGTAATGCTGGTCTTGCACTAGCTGTGATGCGCCACACATTACGTAATCAGGTTGAAAGGTCAAGCGGGACGTAGGCGGAAGAACCGACCGAGTGTTTACAAAGCCAACGTGCGAAGACTGAGTCAAACGCCATTTACAAAACAAATAAATAAATAAAAGGTACAACAACGATGTCGGGCGATTTTGAAGTTGAAGGAGAACTCCTTTCATTTCTGAACTGGAACACGCGTGACCTTTCGACCTGATTACGTAATGCATTGGACCCCATTGAAGTCACTATATGGAGAAAAAAATCCTCAAAGACCTTAATTTCTTTTCGACTGAAGAAAGAAAGACATGAACATCTTGGATGATGTGGGGGAGAGTAAATGATCAGGAAATGTTAATCCTGAAGTGAACTCCTCCTTTAACTAGTCTGCTTGTTTAGGCCTAATAATCAGTGTAAGTCAGTTGGTAACACTCGTGGGTCTCTCGTGGGTTGATAGTCCACCGAGATCTGAAGCCGCACAACATCCTGGTGTCGATGCCGAACACACACGGGCGCGTGAAGGCCATGATCTCGGACTTCGGGCTGTGTAAGAAGCTGGCGGTGGGCCGGCACAGCTTCAGCAGGAAGTCAGGTGTCCCGGGAACCGAAGGCTGGATCGCCCCCGAGGTGCTCAGTGAGGACGCCAAGCACAACCCGGTGAGAGCAAGTCCAGAAAATTACACACATGTCCGTGTCACAAAACTGGGTAAAACTTTATTTTACAGTGTCCTTGTTACATGTGTGACATGTACTTACCGTAGTAATAACAGTAAATTATGCATAATTACATGCAACTAACCCTCAACCAAACCCTAACCCTATAGTAAGTACATGTAGTTAATTAATATTACTCTGTACTTAAATATATAATTACACTGTAACTAAGTCACCTTAAAATAAAGTGAAACCAAAAACTGTCATCAGAATTAGAAGTTTGGGAGCGCAGACCCTTGGCAGATTCTTGTTGACATTAAAGAAAAGTAATACAGGTTTACGTTTCTGAAAATGATTCATGAACAATATTTTATATAAAATCGATATTTTATGAAACATGTTTAACTCTAAAAGTGCTAGAAAATCAAAGCCATAAATCTGAACAAGTTTTGTTTCAAGTTTGAGGATGATATCTCCAAACATCAGCTTTCAGTGAGAGTGTGTTTGGCACAGAAGCAGATTTGGGTTTTTCTCTCTCAAATATTACACACACACACACAAACATTTTTTAGTACACACACAAACCACACTCTGACACACACACACACACAATTATAGCTGCATAATTTATCCAATTGCCATAAGCAGAAAACAGGAATAAAGCGAGTATTTGCTCTATAGGCCAGACCTGAGAAAATGGCGCCATCTGGTTAAAATTTTTAAAAATTGAGATTTTGAAAATTAAAATGTTGATCCTTGGTAACAGAATGAAAGTTTAATAGTTCATTATAGTTTAATGGCCCTGGGATTAAGTTTTAATGGGGACATTTTTGTGAGAGGAACTGTTCTGTGTGCCAAGTGCACAATAGATTTATGAAAGGAAATGGGGGTGAAATAGTAAAATCCCAATAAAGATACACACCTGTGCCAATAATTATGCAGTTGGCATTAACACAGGCAACATGTCCATAGGTTGCTCAAGGGTTAAACACGTCTAAAAGAAGGAAAAATATTCCCGTATTTAAATAGCACAGTGAAGTGAAGCCGAACTGGTGAGCAAGACATCTTTATCAGTAGTAGAGTGACACTGTTCATCATAATATTGTTAATTATGTTATTATAAACGTTGATAGTTGAATTAGTTATTTTGTATTAAGGCTTTGTGCTTCATTTATAAGATGAGCTTTCCTTTCCATGAGCTTTGCTTCTAAAGTGCTATGAACAGTTCATTGGGATCAGTGTGTGTGTGTGTGTGTGTCTGATTTCCACTTTGAAACTAATCTGTGAAGGAATGTAAGGAGATGACTAACCGATGCCGGACTGTGGGAACGTCTCCTGTGCGCATCAGTAACACTTTACAATAAGGGTTCCTTTCATAACCTTATTTATTAGAAATGATGGATCAATAACACATTTTTATTTATATGAATCTGTTATTGTTCATTTATAAATATACTTTTGTTTATTGTTTGACTGTGTTCTTTCGAAATACAATGTTTGTTTGTTATTTTAAAGATAAATTTCAGTCATTTCTGAGATAGGATATATAGATTATCGACAGGAAGTGAAGTGGGAGACATTGAAATGTAGTGAAATGTGGAAATGATCATGAACTTAGATTAGTAAGTGCAATAAAAGTGTTAGTTCATGATATGTAATTAACTCATTTAGTCTCATGCTACAGTGTCACCAATATTATATATATTTAAGATTATAAAAAAATTAATAATCCATGTTCACCTTTCAGATTTCACTTCCAAAGTCTGTTTAAAAATGCAACCTATTATATTCGACAGGACATTTTCGGTCCATTTTATTTCGCTTTACAAATTCAGTGGTTGAAATCCGACAGAAGATTCAACATTGCACATCCGGGAACTGCAGGGAAAGCAGTGGATTGCCGATGCGTGATCTCCATCGCTGTTAGTGAGGCTCATTCATTCATCATAACACATTTACAGAAATGGAGCGAGCGGTTCGTGTTTGTGATGATTATCAGGGATTATCAAAGCTGATAAAGACACAGAGGCTGTGTTCATTATAACGTTATTCCCCGATGCTGACGTACTGATCAAACGGTAAATCCGAGGTGGACATATCTCACGCTTAATTCAAGGTCAATTTTATTTATATTGCATATTTACAACGGCCACTAGACTGACCCAAGTGCTTTACAGAACGACGAGATTAAAAGAAGATATAACATGCATATCAACAAAAATAAGTGCAACATATCTAACCATAAAACAGGAGTAGTAAAACAGCATCAGAATCAAATATAAATTAGTAAAACAAAGCGAAGGAAAAAATCAATATACTAAAGAAAACAGTTTTTAGAAGAGACTTGAAAGCAGAGAGAGAAGGGTCGTGCTAATCTCTAGAGGCTCGTTTCATATGTTTGATATGTTTCATTTGTTTGATATGTTTCATGTGTTTGATATGTTTCATGTGTTTCATATGTTTCATGTGTTTGATATGTTGTCCTGTTTGTTCTCCTCAGACCTGCATGGTGGACATCTTCTCTGCAGGATGTGTGTTTTACTATGTGCTTTCTGAAGGCCAACACCCGTTCGGGAAGTCCTTGCAGCGACAGGCAAACATTCTGCTGGGGGCCTATTCCCTCGAGCTCTTACAGCCCAACACACACGGTACCAGCACACACACTCTCAAAACACACCCTGACCAACACACACGGTACCAGTACACACACACACACTCGAATCACACCCTGACCAACACACACGGTACCAGCACACACACACTCGTATCACACCCTGACCAACACACACCAGCCCAACACAAACACACTCGTATCACACCCTGACCAACACACACCAGCCCAACACAAACACACTCGTATCACACCCTGACCAACACACACCAGCTCAACACAAACACACACACAATCATATGACAACCTGACCAAACACACCAGCCCAACACACACCAGCTCATTTTGGGGCAAAATTTACAGTCAAACCAATAATTATTCCGACACTTTGACCTGATCATGTTTTGCTGAAGTGTTTTTTCTTTAATTGCTAATGCTCTTTTTACACACAGACTGAACAACATGAAGCATTGCTTGGTAATCGGTTGATCTAAACTGGTATTATCTAATTGTGTAGTTAAATTTAACAGCTGACAGATACTCAACATAATTCATCTGTGAGAGTCTAACAGAAGGACGGACAAAACCAGTGAAATATCCACTGATCTGATAACTCTGAGTTCTGCTCATATTTACTACCATTTTATAAACTATAATAACTGATAATGTGAGAAATGTTGAAGATGTCTGAATACAAGTTGGTTTGACTGTATATCACTGACAGGTTTCTGATCAACACACAGGTTAACACCACCACACACACACTCACTCACTCATGGTGTTGGAGGGTTCCAGATTTGTATAGTTGTTTTTTGCTTTGTATTTCTTGAACTTAAAAAAAAAAAGACAATAAACAGTTGTTAAAACAAAAAAGCACACCCTGACCAACACACACACACTCAAAGCACACCCTGACCAACACACACACACACACTCAAAGCACACCCTGACCAACACACACACACTCAAAGCACACCCTGACCAACACACACACACTCAAAGCACAACCTGACCACAAACACCAGCTCATTTTGGGGCAGAATGTCCATCACAGACTGGTTTCTGATCATGTGATTGTTCATGCTGTTTGATGCAGAGGCTATTGTGTGCCGAAACCTGATCGAGCAGATGTTGAGCAATGATCCGGAGAAGAGGCCCTCGTCCGAGCGAGTGCTGAAACACCCCTTCTTCTGGAGTCTGGAGAAACAGCTGCACTTCTTCCAGGTTTGAGAGTCACACACACTTATTTATCCAGGGAAAACACATCTTTTGCAAACACTGCCCTGCACTACAAACTCTCCAACCCACCAGGCACTGCTGTCCGAATGAGCAGCCGGAGCGCATTCAGGGTTTCCTTAAACTCTACACCGCTCATAAAATATAAAAAGATTATATTTTAATATGATTATTAAAATATAATCATATTTTTCCAAACTACTACCATAATCAACTCAAAATAGGTGTCATTTGAAAGCTTAGAGTCTGGACTTTACAATGCATGTATCCTTAGTAGTGCTGAGTTATTTGTTGATAAATAGAAAAAAAAATGTTTTCATAATTTATGAAGAACTTTTTTGTACTACATACTGCAATATGTCAAATACAGCATACAGCTCAGATAGCCGTGTGTCATATGTCATTTGAAAGGTCTCAGTGAGTAGAATACAACAAGCATAATTGTTTCAGGCTTTCTACTAAACTTGAATGAGTTTTAGTACAAGAAGCCCCTCAAGACCCATATGTATATCATACACGGATGCTGAATTTATGACACATTTTCGCTCGTAACTTCATTAAACATGCTCCGATTGTGGGAAAGTGGCACATCATTATTTACAGCAGATGAAATGAGTCCAAACTCAACATAATCCATCACTCAGATCTAAAGATATTCCTTGTGGACTTCTAACACATGAAGCCGCACAGGCGCACATCCAATGAAGTGTAGATGCGTTGATGTGACGTTTTAGCTCATAACTCCATGAAACATGCATGAATTGTGGAAAGAGCCCAAACACAACATCATCCATTGCATAGATCACGAGATATTCCTCACGAAGTGATGCATACTTCTAAACCGGAGTGTACCCTCCGCTGGCGCCACCTAGCAGCGGATTTTTTTTTTATTAACTCCTAAGTAGTTATTTGCTGATAAATAGAATTTCTTTTTTCATAATCTAAATACTTTTCAGCAGCAGATTCTCCTAGAATGGGCGGTAAATGGCATGTGTTGTGTTGTGTTGTTTCGCAGGATGTGAGCGATAGGATCGAGAAGGAGCCGTTAGATGGACCAATCGTGAGGCAGCTGGAGAGAGGAGGGCGGGTCGTGGTCAAAGCTGATTGGAGGGATCATATCACCGTTCCTCTACAGACCGGTGAGCACTAATGCGTCTGGATTACTGGCCCTTACGAAACAAAAATATATTGCAGTATATTGGAAAATATCATGTGATATATTAGGCAATATATTTCCATATATGGGATTTAATATTTATATTTTCCAATATATTGCAATATATGCATAGACCATATATGTATATATATTGATACATATTGTTACGGCCAGCTCGTTTGACCGCACATAAAGGGATACAAGTACAAGAAAATTACTTGCAAGAAGTTTTTATTAGCTTACAACAAAAGTGTAAATAACTTAAGATAACAAAGTCTAGGGTTCACAATCATAAGGGGACAAAATCATAATCCAAATGGGAAATAAGAAAAGGTTGGTATGGTCTGTAAGCAAATATAAATGTCGCAAAACAAGTGACTCCTCCAGAGGCTGCCAATCCCCTGGACGAAGTGGTGTGGAGAGGGTAGGATCCAAGGTTTTATCCTCTCCACAATCAAACCGAAAGCAGGTAACAGGAGTGTGCAATCTCCCACGCCCTCCTGAAGAACACCGCCCCCAGCAGGCGAGCAAGGGAAACGCAGGGTCGTAACACCTCCCTACAAAAAAAAAGATTCGGCAACGAATCTGAAACAAAAACAAAGGGAAAAGACAGTTAAGCACTACCCAGAACAAACACAATAAAAGTTCTGGTGCTCTAGAGGTATGTCGTCTTCTCTTCATTCCTCAACACCTCTGGGCCCTAGAGATGCAAAGAAAAGAACGGACAATACAAAAATTACATTACACTCTAGACAGTGCGTCAGCTATAACGTTGTCTTTTCCTCGAATATGTTTGATCTCGAGATGGAAAGGTTGTAAGATAAGACTCCATCGCATGAGTCGCTGATTTCTATTTCTCATCCGATTCAAAAAGACCAAAGGATTATGATCCGTATAGATAATAATCGGTGCAGAAATTGATCCTAGATATATTTCAAAATGTTGAACAGCCAACACTAGAGCAAGAGCTTCTTTCTCAATGGTAGAATATACCTGTTGATGTCGGTTAAGTTTCTTAGAAAAATAACTTACAGGATGTTGAACCTGGTTCGAGTCCTCCTGCAGGAGAACAGCACCCGTACCACAAGCACTTGCATCTATTGCAAGAATAAAAGGCTTGGCAAAGTTTGGAGCTGTTAAAACAGGGGCACATGCCAGCAAAGCCTTGCAATTTTCGAAAGCTTGCTGACAAGGTTCAGTCCACTGGAAAGACAACTTCGGACTCAATAAATCAGTAAGAGGTGAAACTACATTGGCAAAATTTTCGCAAAAACTCCGATAAAATCCCACCATTCCAAGGAACCGTCGGAGTTCACGACGAGTGGTGGGAGCGGGAAAATTACAGATAGCTTCGACCTTAGTCTCAATGGGTCTTACACAACCATTTCCCACTATCTTACCTAAATAGGTAACGGTTGCCTTCGCGAATTCGGACTTAGCGAGATTAACCGTAAGATTAGCTTTGGCTAAACGAGAAAACAGTTCTTTGATCTGGTCAAGATGTTCAGACCAAGATGAACTATACAACACAATGTCGTCAAGATATGCCTCACATCCTGACATTCCATACAGTATACGGTTTACGAGTCGCTGAAAAGTCGCAGGTGCATTTCGAACCCCGAAAGGCATAACCGTATACTGTAGGAAAGCATCAGGCGTAACGAAAGCAGATAATTCTTTCGCCCGACTAGTCAAAGGCACCTGCCAATACCCCTTCAAGAGGTCGAATTTGCTGACATAACAGGCAGAGCCAACATGATCGACGCAATCATCAATTCGAGGTAACGGGAAGCAGTCCGGCTTTGTCACAGAGTTGAGTTTTCGATAATCTGTGCAGAAGCGATATGATCCATCAGGTTTATTTACTAAAACACAAGGGGAACTCCACGAACTAAAACTACATTCAGCCAGATCATGAGCAAGTAGATAGTTCACCTCTTGTTTCAGCAAATCTCTTTTAAAAGGATTGACTCGATATGCGTTCTGTTTAACAGGACACGAGGCTCCTACGTCGATATCATGTTCTATGATAGAAGTACGACCAGGAACATCACGGAAAAGAGAGGGAAATGACATCACCAACTCAGTGACATCACTCCTCTCCTTCTCTGTCAGATAAGAAAGATGAGAGGACAGATTAAGAAGAATCTCAGAGTTCTTAAGTCGCCCGTCAACTTTTCCTCGAGAAAGAAAACCCTCGTCCTCATCAGCATTCTCCAAAGAATCTCCACTCGTTTTGTGTGAGAGAGGAGATGATTCTGAAAGAGAGTCACAAAGGTTTACCACATTGACAGAACGAACAGGAGCTGTATACAATTTCAACAGGTTACTGTGACAAACTTGTACTTTTTTCCTCCGGTCAGGAGTATTCAACAGATAATTGTTATCAGAAAGACGTTTAACTACACTGTAGGGGCCTGTAAATTTAGCTTGAAACGGATTAGCAGGTAGGGACAGCAAAGCAAGTACTTGATCACCCACCTGAAATTCTCTTAACTTAGCTTTCCTATCAAAGCGTTGTCGCATCTTTAGTTGAGTCTTACTCAACTTCTTTTTAGCGAGAGCTCTTGCCTCATATAATCTACGCCGAAATCCGCTCACATAATCCGAAAGGTTTTCAGACAGTTTAGGTAAACGCCACTCCTCAGCTAACACAGCCGTAGGTCCTCTCACCACATGTCCGAACACTAATTCATTTGGGCTAAACCCAAGACTTTCTTGAATTACCTCACGTATCGCTAACAACATCCATGGCAGACCTTCCTCCCAATCTGCATCGAGTTCCACACAATATGACCTTAAAAGGGACTTCAGGGTTTGATGAAACCTCTCAAGGACTCCTTGACTCTGCGGATGATAAGCGCTAGAAATATTGTGATTTACTCGAAGTTGACGCAGGGCTTTTGAGAACTGTTTCGACATGAAGTTCGAACCTTGATCGGACTGAATGACTTTAGGAATTCCAAAGGTCGACATGAAATTAGTGAGGGCCTTCAAGACAGATTTAGTAGTAATGGACCTTAACGGATAAGCAGCCGGATAACGAGTAGTCTGACACATAACGGTTAAAAGGTATTGGTGACCAGTCTTGGACCGAGGCAAAGGACCAACACAGTCAACTACCAAATGTTCAAAAGGAGCGGACACGACGGAAATAGGTTGCAACGGAGCAACAGGAACTTTTTGGTTTGGCTTACCGGTGATCTGGCATGTATGACAAGATCGAATATGTTTTGCCACATCCCGTTTCACCTTAGGCCAATAGAACTGTCGCAAGACTCGATCGTACGTTTTACGAACTCCTGTATGACCAGAAAGTCCTTGATGAGCCAAATGCAACACAGAATCCCTCATTATAAAAGGAACCACAATCTGACTTTTAGGTTCTTGAAAAACATCTTTATGCAGGACCACTTTCCGACAAAGCAGACCATCATCAAGAAAGTACGAAGAGGAGAGAGGATCAGAACATTTCTTAAGCTCTACTTCAGAGAATAAAGTTGTAAGACTGTCGTCGCTCTGTTGAGCTCTAATCAAATCCTCTCGAGACATCTGGAACAAAGAAGTCAGAGAACAATCATCAACATCAGAGAGATCAACATTGGTTTTCTCAAGAGTGGACAGAACCTCTGATGTATCGTTAGATTCATGTCGCAACACTGTCGACTCTCTCTGGTCAGAAGACAACGAAGAACAGGACTTCAGATCTCTCGGCTCAGGACATTTAGACACATCTGATCCGGAATCACCTGTATGAACAGTATAGAAGAAGGTATCATGCAGTGGAACTTCAACTTGACTTTCAGATAATGGTTTAGCCATTGATCGAGTAACTGCACATGCTGGAAACAAATCAGGAAATTCTTTGCCATTTCCAACATCAGATTTCCTAGGTGTAGATGCTATTATGGGTGGAGCTGCCACATCACTCCGTCCGCAAACATTCCCACCAGCTAAATCATTTCCCAGAATGAATGTAATCCCAGGCACTGGCAGTGCAGCACGAACACCAACTACTACTTCACCAGATACAACGGCAGATGAAAGATGGATGCGATGCAAAGGCACTTCAACGAACCTCATCTCAAAACCTCGCACTAGTACATGAGTTCCAGTAGCGGTTTCAGAAGTCAAGGGTAAAATTCCCTCTAACAGAAATGACTGCGCAGCCCCTGTATCTCGAAGAAGACGCACTGGCACCGTTTCATTTGAACCAGGCAATGACACATTTCCCTCAGTGATAAAGGGTGTATAATCAACAGAAGTTATACCCTGATTAACAAATTTATCACTAGAACCAGATAAATGACAATCTTTCTCATCACAAATGTCAACAATAACTGGTAAGGTAGAAACCAAAGCAACAGATTTCGACAATCTCTCTTTCTTCTTGAGTATCAGACAGTCAGATATTTTATGACCAGGCTTTTTACAATAAAAGCAAACCATGTCTCGTGAGAGTACAGGTTTACTAAAATATTCAGCATCTGTCGACTTAATATTCCTACTCAACACAGGAGACTTTGTCTTAGGTTGAAAACAAGACTTAGACTTACTCATATTGTTGGTTTTAAGACCGACTGAACTGAATGACCCATGATGGGTTAACACAAATTCATCAGCCATGATAGCACCTTCAGAAAGTGTATTCACCTTATGTTCAGTGAGATGTGTAGCTACAACATGAGGAACACAATGTTTGAACTCCTCTAAGAGTACTAATTCCCTTAACTGCGCTTTAGTTGTAACTTTCATTGAAGTGCACCAACGATCAAATAAGTTCTCTTTTTCTCTTGCAAATTCAACATGAGTACATTCATCAGCTTTACTCAAATTCCTAAATTTCTGACGATATGCCTCAGGCACGAGTTCATATGCATGTAACACAGCAGATTTCACAACATCATACTCACCACTCTGTTCCAATGAGAGTGCTGAATAAACTTCCTGAGCTTTACCTGTGAACACACACTGTAATAATAAAGTCCAAAAGCTTTTCGGCCATTTCATGGATAAAGCAACACGTTCAAAGTGATAGAAATATTTATCCACTTCCTTCTCAGAAAATGGCGGCACTAACCTCATATTTCTGTGAACATCAAACACAGGTTCACCTGCATTCGCATGCTGTTGTGGAACAGGAGGCACATTCGCTTGTGAAGCTTCAGCTGTCTTTGCTGCTAATTCTAACTCCAACTTTTTTATCTCAAATGCTCTCTCGTCACGTTCCCTCTCTAACTGAAGCGTTCTCTCTTCACGTTCCTTCTCTAACTGAAGCGTTCTCTCTTCTAAATCAAGCTCCATTCTTCGCATAGCTAACTGATGATTTAATTTTCTCTCTTCGAATTCTCTCTCTACCGCTCGCTCTTTCATAGCGCGATCATCACGTTCAGCACGAATTTTCGCGGCATCTAAACACAATTGCTTCTCTTGCAAAGACAATTCTGGAAATTTCGTCTCACTTTCACCATAAACCTCAGCAGGAGTAGACACAAACGATTCACTAGGAGTAATTAACTCAGTGCTTACCTCTATAACTCCTCTATCAACAAGTGACCGCTTCAGAGTAGTCACCATTGTTTCCTTCAGCCTCTTCTCTTGAGAAGTAAAATCGACACTGAAGCGTTCGGCGATTTGCACCAACTGCTCCTTTGTACAACTCTCAAGCAAAGCTTCTGATGGACACGCAAGACATTTTGTTCGTATATGTATACGCACAATCACAAAACGAGACCACTAACTACCACACGTGAAACGCTGTTTACCCGAAATACAACTCCCATAAGCCACTACTTCAAAACACTACGTCACTGTATTACGCAACGCATGCTCATTCAAAAAAACTTCTAAAGACTTCCCACAAGTCAAAACACAGTGTACGCGCGAAAATAAACCGCACTATACACAAAAGCGACAATTTATCCTCATTTATTTTTGCAAAATGGATTTACCATTTATAATATGAGAAAACTCCAGCTCCTAACTCAGAAAAACACTAACTAAATCCTACCTGGTCTTCAGAGATGTACCGGGCTCGAGGCGACATTAAACGCTGAACTCCGCGACAATCAGTCAAACTGAAAGTCCGGAAGCGTACCCCCTACAGAGAGTTAATCTCCACCCAGGATAACCTCCAAAAACAAGAAAGGCAAAATAACAAAACAAAACAACAAACAGTGCTCCGACGGAAGGATTGTATTCACAATCCAGCTGGAAACACTCTAACTCACCAGAGTTCTCATTTATAAAGGAATCCATTCACAAAAACATACACACATACAAACCATACTTACCAACGTTTCCTACCCCCATAGGATCACGGACGAGACTCCCAATTTATGTTACGGCCAGCTCGTTTTGACCGCACATAAAGGGATACAAGTACAAGAAAATTACTTGCAAGAAGTTTTTATTAGCTTACAACAAAAGTGTAAATAACTTAAGATAACAAAGTCTAGGGTTCACAATCATAAGGGGACAAAATCATAATCCAAATGGGAAATAAGAAAAGGTTGGTATGGTCTGTAAGCAAATATAAATGTCGCAAAACAAGTGACTCCTCCAGAGGCTGCCAATCCCCTGGACGAAGTGGTGTGGAGAGGGTAGGATCCAAGGTTTTATCCTCTCCACAATCAAACCGAAAGCAGGTAACAGGAGTGTGCAATCTCCCACGCCCTCCTGAAGAACACCGCCCCCAGCAGGCGAGCAAGGGAAACGCAGGGTCGTAACAATATAAAACAAATATATTGCAATCAAGACCAAAAAAGTCACTATATCTTTTACATATAATAGTTTGTCTTTATATGCTTTAAAGGTGCATTGCGCAGCTCTCTGAGTTTTTGCAGAACTATGCCCCCCTCTGGCGACAAGCGAAACTGCCTTACTGTCTTTGTCTTGCGTGGAGTTTGCGTTGGGGTTTATGAACTACAAGCCGGTCTCTTTGAATCCATCTTCTACTTTTGTCGAAAGTTGACTGAAGTTTTGTCGCTCGAGTTGTCTTCGCTGATACGGAGAATGGCGGCGAATACACAAACCTGCCAGACATAGCCAGCTGAGCGTGAACGCGCATGACGTCACGCCCAGTCTCACGTTCCGGCCCGAATCCCTCTTATTTATTTTATTGTACAGGATTATAGAGGCAATTGCAGTGATCAGAGAAGGGCTCATTCAGCCCATCAGGCAATTGTTTAAGCATGTATGGGTTAGAAAAACGGGTATTTTTAACATGAAATGTTGCGCAATGCACCTTTAATATACTGCAATATATGCATTGACCATGTATGGCTATGTATTAATACATATAAAATATTTATTAATGAAAACACAAATAGTATTACATGTAATATTCACAGTTTTATCCTTTATTGTTTACATTATTGCACATACATGTTCCCATATACATGTTAATGTATATTCACATTCATGAAATGAGTTACAGCATATTTCTAGTTCCCAGCATGCTTTGCTTCTGACTGGTAAAGGAGAGCAAATGTTCAAATTAAGTGTTATTTAATGTGTATTGCTCAATATTAATATAGTGGGAGATCTGTTAGTGTTTCATGTTCTATTATTTTGGAATTTAAAATGTTTTCTGGTATGTCTGAGTTTTTGGGGTCACCATTGTGCCGAAGAGTAGAGCCTGTGGTTATGTTGACGATTGGCTTAAGACCATTAAGAGTAGACTATAATTACTATATTTGAATAATAATTACTTTGAGCACGATATTAAGTGGTTTAAAGGTTTGCACATATATTGGAGGTTGCATATTTATTAAGTATTCATATATTTTAGATGTTACATGTATATATCTCCATATATGTACATACATTATATGTGCATATTAACATATATGTACACATATATTGTGCATACATTTTACAATATATATGTAAATATATTTCCATATAATTTTACATATATTTAAAATATATTCTACCATATATTAAACATACATGTGACACTATATCTTTACATATATTATCAATACATTTTGCCATATAAATCGGAATACATTTGGATATTTATAAATATAAAATTGCAAATATTTTACGATATATAAACGCATATATTATATATTCATGCCCAATATATTGCAATATATGGAAAGCGGCAATCATTTGTATATTTTGCAATATATTGCAATATATGGCATGAATATATAATATATTGTATAATATATTTATCATTAATATATTATTCCATGTATTTCCAATATATAATATATTGGAAAATAATATATTACAATATATTTCAAGTAATATCTTGGTAAATATATTTTCCTTTCGTAAGGGGGATTCACTATTCCTTTTTACTTCTAAGAGTTTGTCAATAGATTAACCACATGCACTTCTGCCATGATTGTCTAGTTTTAATTCTTGTTTGAATCTTAAATTTGAACATTTTGCTCTGCAAACCATTAAACTATAGTGTTCTTTTCACAGATCTACGCAGATTTCGCTCGTACAAAGGCGGATCGGTCCGAGATCTGTTACGTGCCATGAGGAATAAGGTACATGAGTTCACCGAGACCACACATATCTTGTGTTTACAGCAACACACTGTACAGCGGCGTGAAAGGATTATTATCGCTTTTGAACTGGTTGAGTTTCAACAACTAACTTCTAAATTTTATTTATATGATGTGAAAGTAATGTGGAAAAAATACTTATTTTCCATTCATTGTATCTAATTGTTTTGTTGGTTATCACATATTTTACATGTTTGAACTTTTTAAGCTTTTTTTTTTCAAATAGCTGCTAATAAACCATCAGTTACATTAATTACTGTAACACTTAGGTTAAGGTTCAACAATACAATAACGTTACAATACAATAACCAACAATAAGGTTCATTAGTTAACATTAGTTACCTTAGTTAACATGACCTAAGAATGAACAATACTTCTACAGCATTTATTAATCTTAGTTCATATTAATTTCAACATTTACTAATACATTATTAAAATCAAGGGTTGTGTTTGTTAACATTAGTTAATGCACTGTGAACTAACATGAACAAACAATGAACAGCTGGATTTTTTATTAACTAACATTAACAAAGATTAATAAATACTGTAACAAATGTATTGTTATTTAATACATTAACTAATGAACCTTATTGTAAAGTGTTACCATAATTACTAAATAATTAATTGATTTAAATACACAACTAACAATTTACATCCATGTTGCAAAAAAAACAAAAACATTTGCAAACCATTTCACAAAAATGTTCTCTCTTTTAATTCTTTAATCTCTGTCTCCTATAGAAACACCATTACCGAGAGTTACCCGAGGAAGTCCAGGAAACGCTGGGATCCATTCCAGATGAGTTTGTCTCCTACTTCACCTCCCGATTCCCTCTTCTTCTGCAACACACACATCTGGCCATGCGTTCCTGTGCAGCGGAGCGACTGTTCCTGCCTTACTATCACTATTCTGAACTGACTCCGCCCACAACGACCCTGCCAACAGAGACTCCTCCCACTCTGAGCCCGCCCACAGAGACTCCTCCCACTCAGACCCTGCCCACACTGACTCCTCCCACAAAGACCCTGCCCACACTGACTCCTCCCACAAAAACCCTGCCCACTCAGACCCTGCCAACAGAGACTCCGCCCACTCTGACCCCTCCCACACAGACTCTGCCAACAGAGACTCCGCCCACTCTGACCCCTCCCACACAGACTCTGCCAACAGAGACTCCGCCCACTCTGACCCCTCCCACACAGACTCTGCCAACAGAGACTCCACCCACTCTAACCCCTCCCACACAGACTCTTCCAACAGAGACTCCTCCCACAGAGACTCCTCCCACTCTAACCCCTCCCACACAGACTCTGCCAACAGAGACTCCGCCCACTCTAACCCCTCCCACACAGACTCCTCCCACAGAGACTCCTCCCACTCTAACCGCTCCCACACAGACTCTGCCAACAGAGACTCCGCCCCCTCAGGCCCTGCCCACAGAGACTCTGCCCACTCAGCCTGAGCTCAGCACAGAGATGCTCATACAGACAGACCCACAGGAGGCTGGAGATCCGTAGAGTCACATGACCCGTTCACAGATGTTCCTGGGATGTGTGTGTGTGTGTGTGTGTGTGCGCGGTCTGGGCCTGCAGTGTCTGGGCTGTGTCTCGCAGAGGACGCCATCGCATCTTTCAGTGCCTTACATGCTGGAGATCATCGCTGGAGGAGGAGAAACCCTGTAGTCATTCCTTCCTCCTTTAAGTGGAGCGATTGTGTTGTTGTGGAACACTTGAAGTGAACGCAAGAAATTCTACTGTGCAATGTTGAGAGAGAACGTGTTATTGAATATATATATATATATATTTTTGTACATATTTGGATCATTGATAATCGGTTAAAGTGGCCATTGATTGTGCCTTTTTTTTAAACGACACTGTGTCTCGGTTCTGAAGAGAGTCTAATGTGTGTGATTTCTGCTTTCTGCTTTTGCTGCTGAGAGATGTTAAAGGAATAGTTCAACCGGAAATGAAAATTCATAGTTTCCATACAGCCCCAAAATGACCAAACATAATCATAATCGTTGTGTGTTAAATCTTCTGAAGATCGCATCCAGATTGAAGCCATTATTCACTGCTGTCGTATGGCTTCAGGAAACAGTTCGCTACTACTTCTGGTCTGAAACTGCAAGTTTCAGTTTTGGATGAGCTGTTCCTTCAAGGTCTCGAACATGAAACCAACTGTATGACATTACAGGTATTACGCTTTCAAAAGTTCTGGATGTATTTTCATGACAAACTTGGTTATTATTATCCTGTATTGTGCTCATAACTTCAGTCATCCACTTTTATATGTCGGCCTTTTTTAACAAAACATGTTAAACTATGAGTTCATTCCCTTGGATTCTGGATAGTGCGGATGCGTTTTTTAGCGTTCAGGTGATTTTCTTAAATGGTTATTATAATGGAGAATAATTGAACTATTTTTCTTGGTTTTAGTGGACTCCTGATTTAAAACTGTGGGCTTTCTGTTAGGAAATGCCAGGAAAGACTTTATTTAGTGTCCCAGTGCTATGAAGGCGTCTCTCATGGTGACATGAAATGCATGCCGGCCGTTCTGAACTGAAATATTCCAGATGGAGCTTTTATAACGTTACATGTTTTTTAATGTTCAGTATATATTTTTAAACGGCACATTTTGAGGGGAAAATGATTAAAATGCAATGCCTTTTCACATGTAGTGTTAATAAAAGCTGCTATTGTGCAAAGCCACGTGAGTTTTTACCATCCTCAGGAACTATATTATTCACTCCAGCCACCATCACTCAGATATCTGACCTCTAGTTTAAATAACATGTTCTGGTTACACACTGTGTAATAATTGTGGAGAACTCTCTGGGACACAGCAGCTGGATTTGGGTTTTTCTCTCTCAAATATTACACACACACAAAACATTTTTATTACACACATTCTCTCACACACACACACAATTATAGCTCCATAATTTATCCAATTGGCTCTATAATATGCAGAAGCAGTAAACAGGAATAAAACGAGTATTTGTCCATAAGGTTCCACAAGGGTCAAGTCATTTGTTGACATTTTATTACAAGTATGTTATTACAGTTTTTCTCGATTGCTTAAACAATATAACCAGGCTTTTGAACTAAAATGTCAAAACCATAATGCCATTTATCAAAAAGCACACCCATTTCACTGAACTATGAACACTATTCCCCTGTTTTGACACATTAGTCAGATTTGCTGAACTGTCACAGCAAAACTCTACACACAAATCCCTTCATTTCTCATTGCCTACACCACGTGGTCATTTAGAAAGCACTAGCATTCAAAATTGTTCACTCATTTCAGCACAGCTTCAGCTCAGTTAGCACACAATTACCCAGGTGAAAACACTAAGAGTCAAAATTGAACACACATCAGTCAGATCCTTCAATAGATAGATAAAAGCTTATACAATCTTTTATAAAAGATAAAAATCAGTTTACTGAGTTTTGGAACAATGGATCCACAGAGAAATTAAGCAATAGGTCGAGGAGGATGAGGAGGAGGAGGAAGAGGAGGAGGAGGAGGGAGAGCAAGAGGAGGAGGAAGAGGAACAGGAGGAGTTAGAGGAAGAGGAGGAGGAATAGGAAGAGGAGGAGGAGGAGAAGAAGAAGGAGGAGGAGGAGGAAGGGCAAGGGCAAGAAGACAAGCAGTCTCGGATGAAATTCAAGCCACTTTAGTTGGCCATGTCCTTGTCCATGGTATGACTATGAGGGAGGCTGGGCAACGAGTACAGCCAAATTTGAGTCGCTTCACCGTCGCCTCCATCATCAGAACCTTCAGGGAGGTGTGGTGGCAAACACATTTCTATCACTGAATAAGAGACAAACATTTCCAATTGTCTTTGATGAGGTTTATGTTCTTGCCAGAAAAGGCCAGCATTCGTACAGTCACACAGAGTGGCTGCAGAGTGACAGTGAAGGGAGGGCATCCTTTCTCCTTTATAGTCTTGACTCCCAGAATGTTATCTTTCGAGGCCAATGATGGTATTTCAACCATATGTGGAACATTCTTAGACTTGTTCATCATATTGTATTCTTGAGTGGAGGCATGTGCCAACACTCTTTACCATTCCAATACAATTCCAGATTTGAATAAGGTTTGTGTGTGCTCTTTTACTGTCATATGATGCTCACACACATCTTACGTAAGAGTAGGAGAGAGGAAAAAAGCAAGCAACATGACTTACCAGTTTTGGAAATGTTGTTTTGAATTTATAGCACCAGTGTGTAAGACTATGTTGTAGTGTGTGTATTTTTGAGGGCTTGTGTGTCCTGTCTGAGGGCAACGTTTGGTTTTTCAGCAAGAGTGAATGGTTATGAGTGTAGAGCTTCATTTTGACCTGAAAATAGGATGTTTGGGGAATTGGGTGAGACGTTATGGGTTTGTGTTTACTGTTTTGAGAATACGAGGCATAGTTTCAAGAAATGTGTTTAAGCAATCGAGAAAAACTGTAACATACATCATATTTTAGATGTTGTAACAGTTGAAATCACTGACAATGATCAATATATATTCACTCTGATACACACACTCGCAATGCACCATATTCTGGTGTGGTTTATTTCTGTATAAAAATAGCCAAATATTTATCTTTGCTTTCCCTATAGAAATGATAAGGTAACTGGATTCATATTGATGAATTTAGTAATTGTGGGATTTGTAATTTTGTGGATAAGCGATTCAATAGAGTCAATAATAACGCATTTTCCTATCAATTAGCTGCAATAATCTAATGTTTTTAGATTTATCTTCATTTGGAGACCCTTCTAGTTTTAATGCATGTGATTATTTGTGGTTTGTTTAATCTGTGTATTATGCAATTACAGTTTTTAATTGATTGCCAGCCCTAGAAATTACACTTATATGGTGAAATTACATGAAATTTTCGTATTGAAGAAATACATGATGATGCATCATTAGGCTACATGAAAATGAGTAACACAATCATAAAGTTGTCCTCATAAATACCGGATTACAGAGTTTTCTTATTATTGCAATAGTTCTGCATTATTCGCCATTAGAAAGGTCAGGTGTGTGTGTGTGAATATATATTTAATATGTATCCTATTCAAGATCAGATTCTGTCAATTTCCCATTGCATCACATGAGGAACTAAATGAGTAACGAGTAATCACACACTGTCCGCTCGTTGGCCAGAGGAGGACTGAGTGACTGAGTCTGGGTTCTCCGGTTTCTTTCTCCATTCTGTCACTGATGGAGTTTGGGTTCCTCTCCACTGTCGCCTTGGCTTTTGGCTTGCTTAGTTGGGGACATTTAATATTCAACAATATTTTTGATCTGCCTTACTTAAGGTGGACGATGATGCAATTTTCTTCTGGAAACAAACTTTGTTGTTTTATTTTCATGTTATCACTGTGAAGCTGCTTTGAAACACTCTGTATTGTAAAGAGCGCTGTATAAATGAAGGTGACTTGACTAAAGTGCTGTGCACTGTGAGCATTAACTGGATGTCATCAGTTTAATGATCAGGTTAAACAGAGGCTTGTCTCTGTTCTTTCAACTGATGCACAATATTAACATGGAAAACCATGTGTTGGTGATAATGTCATAAATGGACTGACTGCACACATTTGAAAGCTGAGAAATTCTTGTGATTAAAACTTGGGTCATACTTTATTTTACAGTGTCCTTCTTACGTTACATGCACTTACTATAGTAATAACACACTGTAAAAAATTATTCTTGATTTAACTTAAACAAGTATGTTACCTGGTTGCCTTAAAAATTTGAGTTAATGCAATGAAGGAGATTGGTTCAATAAACAGAAACTCAAAATATGATGTTATCTGAACCACATTAATTAAGTTAATTTGACAAAAGATAAACAGTTGATCAAACTTAATAAAAATAAGATAAAATAAAATAAGATTAAAAAAATGATGCATTAAAGTGCATACAATTATTTACTAAAGGGCAGTAAATGATGCATATTACATGCAACTAGAATAATCCTAACCCTATAGTAGGCCTGCATAATATTACACTGTAAAATAAAGTGTAACCAAAACTTCTAAATCAACAAAAGGACAAACCTATGAGGACAAACAATGCTTTATGGTTGGGTGCTTTTTTTATTGTTATTTATTTATTTATTTTACATTTACTATGTTTAATGTTCTGTTCGGTTCATATTTATATTATCATTATTATTTTAAATTGTTGTTTATATGTTTATAGTGGATATGTTTATAGCCCATACAGGAAGCGTTTCCCAGGAAACCGAAAGTTAAGACCTTTGTTTCCCATGTTGTTTTCTCCTGACCAGTTCAGCAGAAATCCCGCCCAACAACACAGTGGTCTCGCACTGCACTCGATCGTCTCACGCTCGTCGGTTTGGTATATTGGGTAAATCTTGTGATGTGCAAATAATCTAAAAAATATGTAAGATATATTTTATTTACACTCGTATTACACATTGCTTTAACTACATTGTTCAAACAAAGGTTTGTCCCTCACTGATGTAATGAGGAAGCGGCTGAACTCCGGTCAG